TACTGGGAGTATTATTGCTGTGGAGCTCTGTTATACAACCAGACACATTACTGGGAGTATTATTGCTGTGGAGCTCTGTTATACACTCAGACACATTACTGGGAGTATTATTGCTGTGGAGCTCTGTTATACACTCACAATACTGGCAGTATTATTAGTGTGGAGCTCTGTTATACATTCAGACACATTACTGGGAGTATTAATGCTGGGGAGCTCTGTTATACACTCACATTACTGGGAGTATTATTGCTGGGAGCTCTGTTATACACTCATGCACATTACTGGGAGTATTATTGCTGTGGAGCTCTGTTATACACTCAGACACATTACTGAGAGTATTATTGCTGTGGAGCCTGTTACACCAGACATTACTGAGTATTATTGCTGGGAGCTCTGTTATACACTCAGACACATTACTGGGAGTATTATTGCTGGGGAGCTGTGTTATACACTCAGACACATTACTGGGAGTATTATTGCTGGGGAGCTCTGTTATACACTCAGACACATTACTGGGAGTATTATTGCTGGGGAGCTGTGTTATACACTCAGACACATTACTGGGAGTATTATTGCTGTGGAGCTCTGTTATACACTCAGACACATTACTGGGAGTATTATTACTGCGGAGCTCTGTTATACACTCAGACACATTACTGGGAGTATTATTGCTGCGGAGCTCTGTTATACACTCAGACACATTACTGGGAGTATTATTACTGTGGAGCTCTGTTATACAGATCCAGGATAGGGACTGCCTCTCCTATACAGGGACACTTGGGAGCTATGTCTGTGGGAGAGCCTGTCCAGGAGGCGGCTGGTCCTGTAACGGGTTAGAATGTCCTGCTGGCAGCCCTGGGCTCCTCAGGCGTTGCCCTGTGAGACCGCGATGGAGCTCCGTTATTGTGGTCACAGACTGTCCCTACACCGTCACATCCGTCTCTGTAACAACCGGGCAGAAACAACCGCCACCATCTTTTAAATTCTCCTACCAGCCTTCCGATTGGTTAATGCTTTAGCATACGCATCCAATCAGACGCGCTCTATGAGCCGGTGACGAAGCCCTCTCCATCTAACCAATCACAGTCAGCCTCTATCCCTCTCTCCCAGTTTGAACTGAAGCCCCGCCTCTTTTTACAGCTTCCACCGCTTGTTTATGTTTAGTGGGCGTGACCAAGCGGGATCACTGTCCAATAGCGTGGCATGTGAGTCTGACTGCGAACCAATGGCAGCCTGGGTTACATCGCGGCGCTGTGGACGCTGGGAGTTTGTGGATGTGTGTTGTGTTCAACGCGGAGTTCGAATCGGTGATGAAGAAAAGCGATAAATAAACCGGATGAGCTGAGTCCGGCACCAGTAAGTCAGGGTGCATGCTGGTCAGGAAGGGGAGGGGGTAATGGGGGCTTAGTAAGGTCTGAGGGAATGTTTACAGAATATCACCTGCACAGTGGGGGGCACCGGCAGGGAAGGGGGCAGTCTGGCAGGGAAGGCTATAAGGTTACGGTCAGTGGGGGGCAGTCTGGCAGGGAAGGCCACATGTCAGTGGGGGGGCAGTCGTCAGTAGCCCGGCAGGGGAAGGGTTACATGTCAGTGGGGGGCAGTCTGGCAGGGGGTCGCACAGTCAAGGGGGGGCAGTCTGGCAGGGAAGGGCTACGTCAGGCAGTCTGGCAGGGAAGGGTTACATGTCAGTGGGGGGGCAGTCTGGGCAGGGGAAGGGTTACATACGTGGGGGGGGCACCTGGCAGGGGAAGGGTCAGTGTGAGGCAGTCTGGCAGGGAAGGGCAAGTTAGGCCATGTCAGTGGGGGGGGCAGTCTGGCAGGAAGGTTACATGTCAGGGGCAGTCTGGCAGGGGAAGGGTTATGTCAGTGGGGTGGGCAGTCTGGCAGGGGAAGGTTGGCATGTCAGTGGGGGGGGAGCAGTCAGGGGGGGGCAGTCAGTGGGGGGGGGCAGCCCTACAGGGAAGGGTTACAGCATGTCAGTGTGGAGGGGGCAGTCTGCGTGGGAAGGGTTACATGTCAGTGGGGGGGGAGGCAGTCTGGCAGGGAAGGGTTACATGTCAGTGGGGGGGCAGTCTGGCAGGGTTACATGTCAGTGGGGGGGGCAGTGGCTACATGTCAGTGGGGTGGGCAGGGGGCAGTCTGGCAGGGCATGTCAGTGGGGGGGCAGCAGGGAAGGGTTGGCATGTCAGGCCATGTCAGTGGGGGGGGCAGTCTGGCAGGAAGGCTTACAGTCAGTGGCAGGGAAGGGTTACATGTCAGTGGGGGCAGTCTGGCAGGGGAAGGGGTTGGCATGTCAGTGCGGGGAGGGCAGTCTGGCAGGGAAGGGTTACATGTCAGTGGGGGAGGCAGTCTGGCAGGGGAAGGGCTACATGTCAGTGGGGGGCGGTCTGCAGGGAAGGGTTACATGTCAGTGGGGGGCAGTCTGGCAGGGAAGGGCGGGTCAGTGGGGGCACAGGGGTACATGTCAGTGGGGGCAGTCTGGCAGGGGAAGGGTTACATGTCAGTGGGGGGCAGTCTGCAGGGAAGGGCTACATGTCAGTGGGGGGGCAGTGGGGTTACATGTCAGGGGCAGTCTGGCAGGGAAGGGTTACATGTCAGTGGGGGGGGCAGTCTGGCAGGGGAAGGTTACATGTCAGTGGGGGGGAGGCAGTCTGGCAGGGGAAGGGTTACAGGTCAGTGGGGCAGTCTGGCAGGGAAGGTTGGCATGTCAGTGGGGGGGTCTGGCAGGGGAAGGGTTGTCATGGGGTGGGAAGGGGCCAGCGTCAGTCTGGTGGGAAGGTTGGCATGTCAGTGGGGGGGCAGTCTGGCAGGGGAAGGGTTACATGTCAGTGGGGGGGGCAGTCTGGCAGGGGAAGGGTTACATGTCGGTGGGGACGGACAGCCTCCAGTCACCATAACCACTTCAAATGTTCTTCTTTCATAATATTGTAAAGCACTGCAGAATAAGTTGGCATGTTAAAAGAACTAAACTGGCTGTCGCTGGAATCCCGACACACTCATCTTTCCAACCTTGTGCATAAGAGCATTTTTGGGAAGCTCCCACCCTACCTGAGTAGAATGCTCTCCCGGCTGTTCCCACCTCCTATAACCTCCGATCCACTACTAGCACGATACTTAGCATACCGCAATACAAAAATAAAGTGGTTCGATCCTCCTTTTCCTACAGAACACCGCAATTATGGAATAACCTAAGGGACACCGTCAAATCTTCATTCAATCTAAAATCTTTTAAGAGATCCATGGCAATATACCTCAGCACAGAATGCACCTGTCATGGTTGAATATATTTATTACCGATTATGTATTAAATTTATATATATATATATATATATATATACACACACAAAAATAGATAGCTTGGCACTCACCCTATCTCCAATTCAATGAATATCTTGATGCCTTGGTGCAATCCCACGTTATAAGGTATATAGAAAGGTATAAGAGATGCACTCTCAGGACTTTACAATAAATCCATTGGTCACTGATCAGATGATATAACCTTTGTTTTAATAAATACCAATGGATTTATTGTAAAGTCCTAAGAGTGCATCTCTTATTCATTTTTATATATATATATATATATATATATATATATATATATATATATTGTAATAATGTTTTGTGGACACAGGACATACTTGAAAACGAGAGAAATCTCAATGTATCAATCCTGGTATAAAATATTTTATAAATACCAATAGTAATTATAATAAATCACTCAGGGAGTGCTGAGAGTAAACTATCAACAAAAGTTATAGGTCGTTTCAGGGTTTGACAAATCCCAGGTCGCCATTTTGACTAAGAATTTTGCCCTGGCTCCTGGGATTGGTCAGCCCATTCCATCCTCTTCCTCCTATCTCAATCACTGTGTAGCGCTCTGTGTGCCGGTGTACCGGGAGGAAGTGAAATGTAATTATTTTCTCCCAGCGCTGAGGCTGCACAGCAGGACACCTGGCAAAATCGTCTCTGTTCGTCGCACGCCCCCATTTCACAGACCAGCCTGCCCACATTTCTCAGACCCGACTGCCCGCACAATCGTTTCCCTGCGCGGCTTCAGTGCCGGGACGAAGTAGTTGCAGATACCTTCAATTCTTCCCGGTGCACAGTCAACTGCACATGATATCGAGATGGGTGGAGGAGAGGAGTCTTGACCAGCCGCAGCCCACTTCCACTAGCTGCAGCCATGCCAACGAATCTAATGTCTGCTGCTGTACCCAGTCCCACTGGACCTCAGGTAGGCCACTCTCCTGCGCCCGAAAGGTAGGAAACAGGAGAGTGGCTAAAAATATGTATTCGCTTTTTTTTCTGTGTGTATATCTGTCTGGCATGTATGTGTGTGTATGTGTATTTGTCTGTATGCATCTATGATTTCTTTGTGTGTGTATGCATCAAATAATATCTTGTGAGAGGATGTGTCTGTCAGTGAATGTTTCTTTTTTTTGGTCACCAGCCCCCCTCCGATCACATGGCAATGGTGTTTTTACTCTCCTGTTTTCCAACGCTGTGCCAGTCTCACCGCAGCTGGCCTGCCTCCATAACTGAGATTAGTCATTACCATTCAACATCTCCTCATAGTGAAGCATTAAAGCAATGCATCTCTATGGGGAACTTCAGCGCCGCCTCCACGCTGAATGTAGGTGCTGCATAATGTGTCCGTTTCAGGGATTTATTAAGCGGTGTGATTTTCATTATTGGTAGTTTCTCTTTAAATTTCAGTTCGGAGAGGATGGGGGCAATTTTTGTTACTTTGTTACTCTACATGTTACTTGCATTTTGTCTTTGGTATGAAAATGGTTAAATGGTAAGCCCCATGAAAGAGAGCATGTAGATAAATTACTCTTTAATGTAAATTTCTCTCACAGAGGTCTGTCTGTCAGGATGGATTTCTCAGTTAAATTTAATTTTGGGGGTGGATTGTGGGTGAATATAATTGGAGGTATTTGTTTCTGAGGTGGGCATACTGTTTGGTGGAAAGGATGGGGTTAAATCTATGTTGTAATGTAAGGGCTCTGTCTCTGGCAAGTCGTAAGCTCTAGTGGTTGTGGTGTTTGGAGTGTTTCTTTAAACTGTCAATGAAAATAAGGGCAGTAATCCTGCCGCCAGACATGCAGGGTGTAACACAAATTGGTTTGCCTGTCAGTTTGAAGAAAAAATGATCTACTTACATTATATCCTGAATTATGAGCTTGATAAAGTAAATGCAATGTCTTTGCTGCTGTTGAATATTTAATTAAGAGGTACAAAAACGTCATTCAGTAGTGACAACGGTTTCCACTGTTATTCCTTTTTTAAGACAATTTGACAGTTACTAAATGTATTCTTTTTCATTTTTGAAATATCCTATTGTGACTTTCCTCAACATGCAATGTTTTATAGGAATGAGCATGTCTATAGTAACCTATGTTTCTTCGATATAGGTATCAATTGAAGTAGCCCAGGAAAATAAAGTACAATGAGTTGGGTTGTTGAGGAATGGAAGGAAGGGCTTCCTACAAAGAGCCTGCAGAAAATCCAGGAGCTGGAAAGTCAGTTGGATAAACTGAAGAAGGAACGACAACAAAAGCAGTTTCAGCTTGAGTCTCTAGAGGCTGCATTTCAAAAGCAAAAACAAAAGGTGATATTTTAGAATTGGGTCACGTAGTACTTGTACACACCTGTCTTTCATTTGTCCGAATGTATGGCATCAGTTTGAATTTAGATCAGTGATGGCTTACCTCTGTCATTCCAATGGTTGTTAACTATGTATCTTATGATCTTCTGTCAGTATCACTCTATTGGCATGTCAGAATTCTTAATTCTCATTATGCTCATTCAGCCTCAGAGGTTACCGTTAAATGCACACCCCACATTTAATTTTACTTTTAGCTGCAGCAATTTGCAAAACATGTTGTAGTTATATGCTCAAACCAGCTTAGACGATGACTGGATGACTCAATTCTTCCTCCTTTCTGTTCAAGTACAACCTTTGCTCATTCATCGTAAAAGGACACTAAAGGCACCCAGGCCACTATATCTCAGCTAATTTATCAAACTAATCTTAAACGGTTTGATTTCTAACTCTTCCTCCTGGCACCATAACTACTACCAAACATAACCACTCCAAACTTAAAGGACCACTATAGGCACCAGGACCACTTCAGCTAAATTAAGTGGTCTGGGTGCCAGGTCCATCTAGGGTTAACCCTGCAGCTGTAAACATAGCAGTTTCAGAGAAACTGCTATGTTTACATTAGGGTTAAGCCAGCCTCTAGTGGCTGTCTCATTGATTTTCACAGTGAGAAGATGCTTGCGTCCATAGGAAAGCTTTAAGAATGCTTTCCTATGGACTGACTGTGCGCATTCGACGGAAGAGGGAGGAGAGTCCCCAGCGCCGAGGGAGCCCGGTAAGCCTTTAACCCCTTCCTCCACTTAGAGCCCAGCGGGAGGAGGGGCCACGAGTTTGTTTTCCTGGCACTATAGTGGTCTTTTAAAGGAACACTATAGTCACCCAGACCATTTCATCTTAATCAAGTGGTCTGGGTGCAGTGTAAAACATAGTTTTAAGAAACTGCAGTATTTACATTGCAGAGTTAACTCCTCCTCTAGTGTCTGTCATACTGCCAGACACTAGAGGCACTTATGCAGCACAGTAAAGATCTGTCATGTGACGTGGAAGTGTATGCGCTTGCATGCGCATTAGGTCCCCACTGGTCTTCTATGAGAAACATTGGATTGGATCTCGCTGGAGGAGGCACTACCTCCTTCGTGATGGCACCTGGAGAGGAGAGGTGAGCAGCGCCGAGAGAGCCTTGACTCTGGAAACAAGGAAAGTTATGTTTGAAATACAGATTTGTATTGCTAATTTTGTAGTGTTCCTTTAACCACTGCTTGAAGTGTTTCTTTAAATCAGCCCCTGTTTATAATGTGCCATTTTTACATTGTTTCTAGTATATTTGCTTGGCTACATATTCCGCACGTCTGGACATTGTGTGTTAAAATTTCATTTTTATGAATGTGATTGTGTAATTTGAACAGGTTGAAAGTGAAAAAGGTGAAGTAACAGCACTGAAGAGAGAGAATCAAAGCTTGATCGAATTATGTGACAACCAGGAAAAAGCAAAGCAGAAGCTTCTCCATGATCATCAAGTGAAAGAGTCCCAGGTCAACTTTCTAGATGGGCAGCTGGCTTCAAGCAAGAAACAAATTGAGAAGTTGGAACAAGAACTGAAAAGGTGTGAAAAGAATCAAAGTTTAAATTGTACAGAAATATTGCTAATAGCAGCAGGGTTCCCACTAACTTTATACTGTTATTTGTAACGGGCAGTCAGTGATAGGCTGAGCACAACCTCTAACCATCTAAGTTGTGAGCGCCCAATTGGGGACTGAAGAAAGAGAGTGGACTGGCACCCGGGAACCCACTTAGGTGTTATACCATTGAAAAATAGTTTAACACTTAAAGGAAATGCAGTACCCGGGGACTCCAGCCCTCAAAACAACTGCATTGAGATTAAGGTATTTGATGGGAGAGAGTCTCTTTAATATATATTGAGAGTAGTGTTATCTCAGTTGGGGACTTGTTACATTTTTTAAAATATTAGTATTCCTAAGTTATGTTTTTTTAAAAATTGTTTGGAAATAGTGTGCTCACTTTTTTTTTTGTATTTTTTTGTATTTTCTTTATTTTTGGTCGTGCTTGAAAATACAATACATCCTGCGTTGCCACAACTGCAGACGCGAGGATCTGTAGAACATACAAAGGTACATGTAGTATGACATTGAGAACAGTTAGAGACAATATTATGCATCTTGAGAACACAGCACGAAATTTTTATATTTGGGGTAATAGAGATAGTGAAACATAACACTTGGCTGGCTAGGTGAAGAATGTCTTCGTGACTAAACGGTTTCATTGCGTGCTAGGTAGATCAGTAAAAACGATTAAACCGAACAGTTTTGTAGAAGAAACATGTATTAGTCAAGATAATGTAGGTGATTCATATGGTAGCACTAGTGGTTTGCACATTACGGGTGACTGTCAGGATTAACTAAGTAAGGTTTTAACTGCTTAACAATAACATAAAACAATAAAATAAAGCTAGTAGTACTTTTATTAGCAAAATGCGTAGTGTGACCTGAATGTACTAGTCGTTAAAACTAGGTAAAGCAGTTAAACAGTTGTGTGCTTGAACATTATAGTAAGCTTATAACACCGCATAGCCTAGGGAGGAGATAGCTTGAATTTAGCATTTCAAGGTAGTGATGTGGCATCACAAATAGATAGGTACAACCCAAGGGTTCCACTTAGTATTAAAACATTGCTGATCTGGTTTAGGATGCTAACATTGCTTGGGTGAACAATTATTCTAACATGGCAGTATCTTAGCTAGGCATTAGGTTCTACTGCGTGTTTTAATATATATATTGATGTCGCTTTTAAAGTATTTTCTCCAGTTTTGTTCAATTGAGCAGGTGAGGTACACGTTTAGCTATGACAAAACTGCATAAAACAGCATATGATCTGCACTAGGGCTCAGGGTCTTTTAGTGTTAGGTAAACAGGCTAGGTAGGGAGGCAGGTAGAGTGCCATTGGTTTCTAGGCTAGGAACATGTAGAGACATATATAGTGACATGACATATATAACCATGGGTTATTTCTGCAGGAGATGCCCCTGTGGGGAATTTGGTAATAAGCAGGTTCCATGTGTATTGGTCCCCGGATGGTAGTTATGGGGGTTATAGTCCCGGCAACATATAGATAAACAGTAATTTAAACATAAGATAAAGCAAACACTTTGCCCAATGAGAAGTATATGATGGTTCTGCATATTTTCAAATGGTAGTTATGTCGAGCTAGGTCAACTATACAGGCTAGTGACTTCAAGCTAAAGCGTACTAGGCAGATGTGCCTGGGAGCAAACAGGTTATTTAAACATTGAGTCTCGCATGCATTGAGAACGTTACGCCACTGGGTTGTGGGCCTGGGCATAGGGGACTGTGCATCTGATTAAGTCAAAATTATAAGCAACTAAATAAACAAAGCCTAGCTAGTTCTACCTTGCAGGGTAACCTGTCAATTAGCTTAGATTACACTTAGGTGAGTAACTAAGGAGACACACAGTTATTAATACTTTGCTAAGTCTTATGCGGTGAGGCTTAGGCCTGATGTGACAGTTGCAAAGCTAGAACTAGGTTTGGTACCTGTTATAACACTTGCAATGATTAGTAGGAGTCCAGGGTGATGGGCATTGCAGTCGTCCGCTTGAGAAATCAGCCAACGACACAGGGTGGGATGGCGGTGCAAGGATCAAGGGCCAGTTCATCAGGCGTTGGGGGGAAGCCCCCTCTAGCCTGCATTCGGCTAGGAGGTTGTCCTGCTTTTCTTGTCTGCCCATTCCGACCAGCCGGTCGCTTTATCCTCCGTGTTGCGTTTCTTCTCCTATCACTCCCGGGTGTTTTCGCATGTCTTCGGCCCGAGGCCTTAGCGGGGGCCCCTACCACATGTCCATTGACCCCAAACAGGGTCGTGGGCCCAGGGTTCCTCCGGGTCCCGGCTATCTCCCTGGGTGTATGGGTGGTGGTGGAGAGCTACCTCCAGGTGAGCTCCCGGCTCGGAAGAAGAGTGCGGTCGGGTACCGGGTGTGCGGAGCATTCGTAGCACTCCGTGGTTGCGGTTTGGGGCTAGGTGACCTCTCCTGTGGTGGCTTTTGTGCAGGGGACGTTTCCTCCTGCGGCGCCATCTCGAGGCCCTGTGTGGGTTAGGAGCAGTTTGTTTGCGGCTGTGTTGCCTGAGCATCTCGTTGTTCAGGCATTGTGTTTGTTTAATCTGCTTTGCCCTGATCTCCAGTTTCGCCCAAAAGCCCTCGAATATAGCATGTAGTCTGGCCGCGCAACCCGGCACCCCTGTATGGCATTCCGATGTCTTGCACAGTGTGTGTAGCGCCGCCATTTTAGGTGTGCCATGTGCTCGGTTGTCCTGGCGTTGCTGCTTGTTACTGCCCATCCAGTTGCTTAATGTGGACCGAGATGACCCCCGTCGGTCCATGGGGGGGGGGTAGGAGGTGAGTGCCCAGAGGTATCCACGTCCAGGTCAGTCAGCGCGGGGAGCGGCCGTCTCCCCGTAGCTCGATCTCCGGCAGGCCTCGGGTTATATGGTCGGGTCCCCAGAGGGTTGCATGCTTGATTTTGGTATCGGGTGATTCCCCCGGGTGTCCCCGTCATGATAAATGCTCTCCAGTGAGGGATTGTGCCAGATTTTGTGGGGATTACCCCCGAAAAGTGCAGGATTAGGCAGGAGCTGAAATGCAGCACAACCTCTCAGTCTGGGTGCTAGGCTCCGCCCCCAGTGTGCTCACTTTTTAACATGTAAGTGGCTTTATAACTCTGTAATTGTTGATTTCTCACTTTAATTTATCTATGATCTTATGCTTTCTTCTAGATATAAAAATGACTTGGAAAAAAGCCAGCAATCATTTACTGCTGGAGACATGTCCCTGTGTGTCACACCCCAGAAAACCTCATTTATTTCTTGTACACCTAATAAATACAATGGTAAGTAAATTAATCATATTTATCACACACATCAAATGTTATTTCTATGTCTTAATATAACATCCATTTCCATTTAGACTCCAAATATGAGGATTTGCAAGAAAAATACAATAAAGAAGTTGAAGAGAGAAAAAGACTAGAAACAGAACTAAGAGTGCTCCAATTAAAAGTAAGGCATACGAAATGCATTAAAACAACTATAGCTTAATGAAATAGTTTTGATGTGTATATATCATGCAAATGCAATAGACGGTTTGATTCTCTGCCATTTAGAAGTTAAATCACTGTTGTTTCTGTTTATGCAGCGCTAGCCGCACCTCCCCAGGCTATGATTCGCACATAACATTTATGTGGTTTCATTTTCCATCTGATAACTTACATTAGAAGTTTTTATCCCCTCCTCTGTAAATTGAAATGTAATCACATACAGGAGGCTTCTGCAGTATCTAGAAGACTTTTTTAGAGTTGTCCCAAACTAATTTTGTCTCCCTTGCTCTCTCTTTCCTGTAGCGTGATGTTATCCCAGGAAATGGGTTTTATACCAGCTTGTCATGAGAACATCACGGTCTCAAACAGTGATACTTAAAAATGACCTTATATATTATCCAACACAGATCTATAATACTTACCTCCCAACTTGTCAAAATATGTTCATCCATGTGCTAGACATGCTTTTTTATTTTTCATAACCCCTATTAGAATTGGAATGATATGGGGAACTTTTTTTTTTCGCCTGTCACTTTCTTTTTTTGATTACCCAGTGGGGTTTGTGCTTTCTCAGAATACCTTGAGAGGAATGCACTTGGGCCTTAACACAAATATCAATTTTAACCCAGTCTAGTGCTCTTGGACCGTAACGTTCCATCATTTTGTCTGTTTTTCAAAGTTTCCTATTTAGTGAATAATCCAAATGCTACATGTATCAAATCTTATTCTTTATAAAATGCCATCATGAAATTTGTGTATTGTGAAAATTTAAAATTACCCTCCTGTAACAGTTATTTCTACTGTGTAATTGTTTTGAGAGAACTTTGATTTGGTGCAGGATAACAGTTAAGGTTTGCATTAATTTCATTTAAGAGGGATGCCCGCAAGAGTTACTCAATCCAAAAGCAGTGTTTTATCAACACACTTTATTTTTTATTTTTTTTGTAGAGGAACCTTTTTATGAGGTGGCAAACACCTCTTTGGATGAAACAAGAATAAACACAAACCTTAATTATATACTGAAGTGTGGTACATGCCCTTTTGTTACTGTACATTTTATATATATTTATTTTTCTTCTCAGAGCACAAATCAGACCCCGCAGTCCTCTTCCCACAGTACCATGAACCACAGAGATATTGCTCGTCACCAGGCATCATCGTCTGTATTTTCGTGGCAACAAGACAGAACACCAAGTCGCTCTTCATCCATTACTCAGGACACTTCTCTTAAGAGAGGTTTTGCAGCAACCCATTTTCCATGGGAACAAGAGGAGGTGCCAAGCAAAAAAGGCTACAAATTGGACAATGTGTCCAAAAGTACATCTAATTCCTACAATGATAATGTCAATGAACAACTTAGAGTCCAGAATCAAGGTAGGTTTGATTAAATTTCAGAGAATGTGAGTTGAAAAATAAAAAATTCTTAATACAAGAAAGTCTTTTAAAATATTACTACTTGTGCCATAGTTTTATATTTAATTTGAAAGATGTCTTTGTTGGATTTCAGTTATGACAAAGTGAAATGATAGTTAGAAATGTATAGCCAGTAGCCTGAAATGTAAAGTTGTTACAGCAAAATAGGTAATAAAGGAACTCTATAGAGTTTGGAATACAAACTTGTGTTCCTAAAGCTTTAGTGTCATTGTTCCTACTTAAATTGAGATGTATAATAAAAAAATAAGTTTTTTTACTTACCTTTTCCAACGTTGAGGCTTCCTGGGAGCTGCTTACTACTTCTTCCGTAATGTCACACAGGAGGCATAGCCTCCATGATGATCAAATCCAATGCTCTCCAATGGGGGTTTCCAAGTCATATGACTGATTTTTACTTGGCCTGTGCAGTAAAAGCGCCTCTAGTGGCTGTCAGGAAGTAGGTCACTAGATGTGGATTTAATCTTGCAATGTAAACATTGTAGTTCCTGCAGTTTTTTTACATTGCTTGGTTAAAAAGACAGTACTACTGCATCCAGACCACTTTATTGAGATGACTATAGTGTCCCTTTAAATCTCATATTTCTAATTAAAGTGAAAGTGCATCTACATACTTGAAAATATAATTCAGAAGCACTTGAAGTAAAGAGAGTTGTCTTCATGTTTCATTCTGTTGCACTGGAGAAATGTATTTCAACAAAGTAATGAGAAGCCTCATGTAGCTCTGTAGCATGTGTGCACTCTTGTTGTTGTCCTTAATTACAAAGCTTTCCATGGGTCTTCATGAGATAATTCCACGGAGTATATGTTCGGTGTTCTGTCTATATCATACACTTTTATAGGTCATTCATTTTTTTTTTACCTGTTTTTGCTCCTTCAGAGCTCATATCCAAAATAAATGAGATGGAGACTAGATTACAAATTCAGGAAAAGGAGATAAAAAATCAGGTTTCAAGGTGCCAAGAAACTCAGATTATTTTAGAGAAAACCAAGATGGATCTTGCAGAGAAGGACCACACCCTAACAAAAAGCAAAGATGAGCTGGCCAGAGTGAAGATACAGCTGGAACAAGCTACAGATAAGGTATTGGAAACTGTTCTTATTATGCCTAAGAAGTTGAACATGACAATAAAATGTAATAATTTTTTAGTAGAAAAACTGATATATTAAATCTTTATAATTTTGTTAACACACTGTTATTTTTAGTTTTTGTATGTGTGTGTGTGTATATAATTGAAGCCATTAGAACATATTTGTAATATTCATTGACACATGATATGTATTAATATATGTTTGTAAATACTTATTCTTCTTAGAAAACATGAAATGGAGCTTTTGGAATTTTTCTAGGAATTTGATTTAAAAAATAATTTAAACTATAGCTTCTTTTTGCCAATTAATGCACTATTTAACATCGATGTGTGTTGTGTATTTTGTCAGGGCGTGCTGGCTGAACAAAAACTGAAGAAGGTTTCAGAAGAACTTAGCTGTCAAAGGCAGAACGCTGAAAGTTCTCGAATCACTGTGGAGCAGAAACTAAAAGATAGAGAGAAGGAACACCAACAGGTAAATAATAATGTAGTGTACATATGGACGGATTGATTTACATGTCATATGTAGCGTTTTACGTTAAACCCACATATAGCCCCCTCTAATGTTTTCTGTCAATTATTCCCTTTAGTCTTGACTAAACTGCACCCATTTGAATGTCTTAGTTTATCTGCCTTATAGTTGTTGTTCTCTAGCCAATAGAACAACATGTAGAAGTTTTTCAATTCTCACTGGGATCTGTGCGCCACCTGTTATCTTGAATTTTGGTTTGAGAACCACAACCTGAAAAGCACCATAAGCACTGTAGTGGTTAGGCTGTCAGGGTTTCACTGTCACTATACCATTTGTTTCACAGTTACTGGGTTCCCCTTGGTCCATCCTCTTTAGTTGTATCGAGGTACAGAAGTTCTCATCTTTCAGTTTTGTGCAACTTTTCAGAGCATTCATAGTCTGAGAGCATACACTGAAACTCGCAAGCAGTGTGAATTTTTATCCAGTTACAGTGCTTGGGGAATCTTTTTCACCACAACCACTACAGAAGGCCCCTTTAACACACTGTCGGCATAATTGCAAAGTCTTTGGAGAGCTGCAGAAAGAGAGCAATAGTTTACAAAATAACCAGGACAAGTTAATGATGAGTCCTGTAAAGTCTGACTCGTGTATGTAAGATTTTCTGTCTCCACTACTACTTTACCACTAATTTGCGTGGACTCAAATTATTACAGAGCAATACAGTTGTCTTCAGTAATATTACTCTAGGTTCGGTTTTATAAATATCCCTTGCACCTATGCCAAATATTAGAAGCTAAACTCTTATTTGTGTGTGTACATAGATAGAGATCTTGAGCTATAGTACTAATGATGATACTTGGGAGTGTTCCTTTAATGGGAGATCTTGTTTAGTTTTTATGGTTTATTTTAGTTCTGAAACAATTAATAATGGTGAAAGGCAGTTGTCAATCGTGTACAATTTGTATTTGATATTATTTTTTTTTTTTTTATTTTTTTTTAGGACCTTGTGCGTCAACAAAATTCCCTTCAAAGTATGGAACAACAGCTGAACCAGATGAAAACAAAACTGAGCCAGGAGACCCAGCAAGCTAAAAATCAGTTTAATGCAATGCAGGCAGAACTCGACAAAGTAAGATATTTGCCAAATGCAAAGATTTTATGCAAAACACTCATACACACTCTTTTTACCAAGTATATCATAGACAAGTTATTTAACAGTCATCCTCTAAAAACGTGTAACTAAAATGTCCTCACACTTTTGACGTTCAATTAAAATTTGCCAAAGTACTATGTTACTACCTATGAAAGAGATATCACCAAGGCCGGCCTTAGGGGTGTGCGCCATGGAGCAGGGGGCGCCCTGCGGCCTACACAACTCACACATTGCTGGCTACCCGGGTGGAGGATTCCATTATTCTCCACCCGGGATAAAAAACAAAAACAAACAAACAAAAAACTTGGGGGCGGGGCTAAATGACGGTGGGGCTAAATGACGGTGGGGGAGGGGGGCTAGCTAGAAGTGCCGGTTAATTGCTGCATGGGAAGCAGGAAGGTGTGTGTGTCTGCATGTAACGGGGTGTGTATGTGTGGCTGTATATCTGTACCTGTACCTGTGTGTGCTTGTAATTGTCTGCTTCTAACTGTGTGTGTGTATGTGTCTAATGAATATTTATTTTTAAATCATTTAATTTAATAAATCCCCTATACAATCACTACACTTCTATACATGGATGACAGGGGAGAGGGGGCGCTGCGAAGATATTTCGCACAGGGCGCCTAAAGGCCTAAGGCCGTCCCTGGATATCACCACATATAGTAAATAGACACCATATTGATATGTATAGTAATTTGTAAACCACCATGCAGATTAGCATAATTGGTGTTGAATTAACTTTTTCACTGCGAATGACTCTTCTGAAGTGCAGAGGAGGACACTGTGTTTTCTGGCTCATTTCCTTCAAACAATCCCTACTCACTTTACTAATGAAGCTGATGTGTGACACTTTTAGTGGCCACTCCTCAGATGGTCACTAGAGGTGCTTTCTGAGGAATTACGCTCAGCGTCTCTACACTTTGCATGGAGACGCTAAACTTTCCTCATAGAGATCCATTGATCCAATGCTTTCCCATTATGATTGGCCTAGTGCTGGAGGACCCGTGCAACGCTGGAAGTAAGGTGAGTTTTTGCTAGCTTTAAAAAGGAGGCGGGGGGGGGGGTGCGGTAACTAGTTAGTTTAACATTATACGGTCAGGAATACATGTGTGTATTCCTGACCCTACAGTGTTCCCTTAATTACTTTGCAAGTCTCAATATTTTACGGTCATGTTCACATCCATCAAAGGCTGGTTCCGATTCAAGGGAGTAGTTGTTAAGCAACTAATGGAAGGAGTTGCCTAATCTAATCAGTGAGTTAATTATTTTTAGAATTGGGAAAACCACGAATTGAATGTTTATTTTATTTATTTAAATGAAAGCCTACAATGTCTTGTCTTCTTCACTGTTCAACATCTGCTGTTATAAGAATTGCTGTTTTCAATGAATACTCTATTTATGTTTAGGTGAATCATTTGAAAATAAGTTTGGAAGTGGAAATAGAGGAACTAAAGCAGAAACTCTGCAGATCAGAACAAGCATTACATACCTGCCAGAAAAATGAAAGTGATTTTAAGAAAAACGTTGAGGTAACTATAGAATAAGAAAAAAAACTAATGGTTAATGCCAATAAAATCCCCATACAAGAATGGGGGTTTCCTGTAGGTAATCCAATTTAATCTATACCCTGTGCTAACCAACATTTATATTATTGTTGATTTATTTTTCGTTTAAAATTTCCATAAACACTAAATATTGCAATGTCAATGCACTAGGCAGCCATTGGTGTGTTGAAATTCACTCCATATGAGTTATGCTATAAACCTTCCAGGTTTGTAGTGGCTAGTACATTGCAAGACCTGGCTAGTGAGGTAGGACTTTTAAGCCCTGGATTAAATTATGTTGACAATAACAAGTCAAGTGCCTAATGTGCTAACACTCCTTTAACAGACTGCTCCATACTCAGGAATAAATAAAATAATAATAGTCTTTAAATAAATATTTGCCAGGTTTTGTACATTTTTTACTTTTTTTTTTTTTTGGAATGTTGTTTCCTTTTACATATAGCTTGTGTGTAATTCCTTAACTCCGGTAAATGTGTCAAATTCTTATTCTTTGAATTTCTCCCCCCCCCCATTTCAGTCATATACCTGGCTTATATGGTACACATGATGCTTCTTACTTTTAGCCTCGGTTTCTTGTCATCATTAATATTCCTCCCCATCCATTTTATTTATATATATATATATATATTTATATTTATATTTATATTTATATTTATATTTATATTCCTTTCCTAATTAGTTATTGTATCAAGTAAGGAGATAGAAAAGAAACACCAGAGGAGATAAGTGCTATAACTCTAGTTATTACCTCCCACACCCCCACCCCTCTCTTGTGACTTCCAATGGTAGCTGTTGCCTTGATATTCTATTTATCTTCCTATTTTGAATTTCTGATTGTGCGAATCACCAGTTGTTGGTGGAATATGTTAGATATGCCCACAACACTGCTGGCTGTAGCCCGTGACCATATAAGTGTATAAGGCGCAAGCCATAAATAAAATAAGTGTCATTCAGTGGTGCTTCTATCATAAAGATATTGCACCTTAAAACTACCTCAATGTAGTTAAGTAGAATATGCTGTTGCTGCATGTTACCTAAGGTGCCTGGGTGCAGAACATTCCATGCTCCAGAACTGCTGACCTATTGATCTTATTTGTAATCTAGGGTTAACCAAAAGGAAGCAATATACACTAGCAATTATGAAAGTAAACCACACTCAGTATCTGAAACTGTGAAATTTGACATTTTAATTTAATGTGTGTGTATCACAATAATTTATACTGTGTTTGAGTAATAATAAAATGCTGTGAATGGTGATATCTGTTTAAAACTGACAACCAAACCTTTTTGCTTCCCACAATATACATGTGTATAAAACTGTAACTATCGACAAATAGCGCTTCCTAGTCTAAGCACTATACATGGGTAGCTGCATTCATTGCCAAGTCTCTGCATTCACCAATACGACTTCATTTTCTTGCTTCCCAAGCCTTGCCTTTTCTCTGTATGGCATTTATGATCTATGTCCATCTGCCACCTCCATTGCCTCTGAAAATTTAAAGCTCATCTCCAGTGATGTTTTGCCAAGGCCATCTGCTGTAAACTGCTACAAGACTATAATTTCTGCAGATTTATATTTTACAAATTACTGTGCACATAACCATGTTCCGAAACCTCTCTTGCACATTTCCTGTAGTGGACAGATTTGCTTAACACCAGTTTGTTATTCCTTGTACCACAAGACATGATATTTATGGTGAATCACCTTGCAGGTTACAGACAAGTCGGAATGTTCATATAAATTTAGGGGAATGGCTATTACTGTATACAGAGAATTAGTGTACGAACTGCTTATTCTGCTTTCAAACCAAACACATTTTTGATGAATTTGTTTTGGAAGAAGTTAGAAAATGGGTTATGGTAATTGTGAAAATTTTCGATAATTGTGTGAAAGGGGTGATTAAAAGAACACTATAACCAGCTTGACTACTTCATCTTAAACAAAAAAAAAAATATATAAATTATATATAATAAAAGGGGGGCCTTGAAATCTAAAAGACCCCATTTAGCCAGCGCCAAGCGACATGTGATGGAGGGAGGGGGTACTCCCGGATTCTGCAGTGCCAGGAAAACGGGTTTGTTTTCCTGGCAATAGAGAATCCATTTAAGGGCAAAATAGCCAAACCAGAAATATTTTCTAATTTAGCTGTTTCCCGTTTAACTACTTTGGCCTTTTAGTTTCACTTTGAATTCTCCCTTTAGTGACTAACCCTGTGTTTTAATAACCAAACTTGCACAGTATCTTTTTTTTAACTTCATTTTATAAACTCTTCCAATTGTTTTTATGTATTTTTAGGAAGCAAAGTCTGAACAAAATGCCATCAAATGTCAGTATGACCAGAAATGCAGAGAATATCTGAAACTAGAGGAGGACCTCAGAACAGCCAATCAAACTTTAAGACAAAATCAGACATTTGTAGAGGAATTAAAAAGTGAGTAACTTATAATAAGTGTTGCTTGATTCACATAGCAGTAGTAGGAAGGGAATGTTGAAAGATCTAGCAATATCCAACTTTTTGCATGTTGGCTTCTAAATCTATGTCTGCATGCTACCAAGACAGTCTGGTACCATTTTAAAATGTAAGAAATGCATCAGGAGCGCTGATAAGTTATATCCCCAAATATTGTAGATCTAAAACATCTGGGGATCTGTCCTAACATTCATGGTGCGCAAGCGATTATCCCTGCCTATTTAGGTTATACAGATTTGTAAATGTTTTTAAAGGAAAGGAATACTCATTTTTATTATTTAAAGTAAAAAATGACACATATTGTGGCCTAAATGTGTATTATTTTGTAATGCGTACATATAAAGTAAATACTTCTTTTCAGTGCGTCTTTTGTCTTGACCCTGCTCTTTGGTGGCCATCTCAAAGTTCTGTTGGTCAGGGCTGCAGATATCTGCCCAGCAACCATTCAGTAAATGAACAGCTAGTACGCATGCACATCACGAACAAGTGTTTGGCACTTCAAAAAATGCACGTTTCAGTCCTCTATACTGATGAATGATTAGGTATGTGGTGCTTCTAGTGCAAAAATGTATAGCTACTGTGTATAATATATGATGTTTTTACACCTACCTTAATGAATATAGGGGAGATTTAGACACTTTAAATAGCTATAACACTCTAAAAATATACATACATATAAATGTGGTTTGTTCTTAACATTTTCTTTTCTCTTTTTCAAAGATAAAAATGTTATCATAGAAGCAGAATTGAAATTGGTCCATGAAAAATTGCAAGATGAAGGTTCGGTTAGTCTTCAGAGCACAAAAAGCACTATTTTAAATCTGGAAAAAGAGAGAGATTTCACCCAAGAATTGTTAAAGAAGAGAGATCAGGATATTGAAGAGATGAAGGTTACTCTAGAAAACTTGGCAAAAGAATCTACAACTCTGAAACATTTAACCGACTGTAAAGAAAAGGAATGCAAAGACTTGCTCAATGCAAATACTTCACTTTCTAATTGGAAAAACGAGCAAGAAAAAACAACTAATCAACATTCCAGAGAAATGGAAGATATGTTGAGTAAGATTAGCGAACTGAAAGGTGTGGTTCAGACACATGTAGATAAAATACACTCACTGGAAAATGACAAAACAAATTTAAATATTCAGATTAAAGCTTTACAAGAGCTTGTGAATACCAAAATGGCTGATTTTGAGATGCAGAAAGCTGCGTACAATGATCTTTGCCAAAAACAGGAAGTGGAAAGTCAGAAATTAAGGAATGAAACCGAAAAATTAGTGCAAGAAATAACTGAACTTAAGGGGCAAATTGAAGAACATAAATCACATCCTTGCCAGGACCAAATGTCTTTATTAGAGAACATATTACAGAATGAAAAGCTGCAGAACGCTGAATTGCGCCGACAGCATGATGAACTGCTAAAAACTCAAGTGGGCACTAAAATTAGTCTGGTGGAATTCGAAGACACGCATGAACGATTTGTAGCAGAGTCTAGAAGCCAAGTACAAAGCTTACAAAATGAAATTTCATCTAAACAAATTGATATTGAATCACTGGCTTCTACTATTAAGGAGAAAGATGAAGCCATTAACAGCTTATCAGAGAAATTAAGACTTAAGGACACTGACATGCTTTCTGCATGTCAAACTATTAAGGAGCTCAATGATGAACTGCAAGCACTAAATCAGGTTTCTGAGTCATGGTCGATAGAAAGGGAAACACTAACTGCGTTAATTAGCTGTAATCAAAAAGACATTGAACGGCTGACTGCGGAAAATAAAAGAATCAATGAACTTGGTGATGGAGCCCTGAATTGTAATAAAAAACAAGAAGTAGATGTGGAACATGTTTCTGAAGAAGCGAAATCTATGCTCAACAGAAGCTTCATTAAGAACACAGAAGAACACGAAACTCTAAAATTGAAACTCTCAGAGATGAAAGAGAAATACTGCAAATTACAAATCGCAAATGAAGAACTAACCACGCTAGTCTGTGATCTGCAAGGCAAAGAATTATCTCGAAACAAAATCTTAGAAGAATTCAGAGAGAGCCTAGAAGAAAAGGAAAAATTAACAAGTAAATTGCATATTGACACGGAAAAGACTAATGGTTCAGCAGGTCATGATGATGGTGATGTGGATATGACTGAAGGTGTGAACATTGAATCCGTGAAAGCTCTGATATTCAACAGCAAAGACATGGATCTTTGTAATACTCAAGCTGAGCTTCATGAAGAAACCTCATGTTCTGAAGTTAAGATTATTTTATTAAATTCTGAAAACATTTATCAACCAACTACCACAACTCTTGAAATGGAAAATGATGTCCCATTGAAAAAGTCAAAGAGGTTGAGTTTAAATGACCCTACAACTGATTTGTGTGATATGTTGATGCAAAAGTTTGATTTGCCAGGCCAAAGTGAGTGTATCACTGATCAGCAAAGTGCTACTGCTTCAGAAATAACATTCTTTACTGACCAAAGCAAATGTGATGGGTACAGGCCCAGGAAATCTGTTTCTGATGAACTGTTTGACCTAACCTTCAACAGATCGTTTGAAGAGCAACTGTGTTCTCTTGCCAGTGTGAATAGCAATGATGAAGATGGTGTAAAACAATTACTTGCCATTTACGAAGCGGAAGTAAATGACTTGAAGAAACAGTATGGTTCAGAAATTGCAGCACTGCAACAAACATTAAAAGACCAAGCTAATGAAATGGAAAATAAATTGGCCGAAGAGAAGAAACAGAAGGAGCATCTATCACTTGAACTTGAAGCTGCAAGGCTGGAGCTGCAGGTCCTTGACTTGAGCGCACGTTCGCTTCTGTCTTTTGATGTTGATGATGTAAGTATCTGTTGAATTAGATTTTTACCAATATGTATATATTATAAGTACAGAATAAGAAAGGAAAGAGATAGAGGTGGACAAAATCCACATCACTAATTCCAAGGAAGGGTTACAGAGATATCAAGGGGCATAACCCCACAAAATAATTTAAAAGGATAAGACTAGAGTGAAGTGGTTGTTCCACTAAAGATGGAAAAATTTGGACATCCACTTCACCAAATGATATCTCTAGATAATTACAATAATTGTTAGGTATAACCTTTATTAAGCCGACTTTAGGCAAAACACAAAACAATAAATAATAATAAAAATAAAGTAATAGTGAAACACTTGTGGGAAAAACACGTGAAGTAAAAAGTGGGTAGATGTAGTTTGGATATCCTCAGTGTATATTGGGGTAATTTAGGTAACTTCACTGAAAACACTAGTAACCAGTACAATAAAGTACCGTATGTGTTCAGTCACATATCACAAAATTGCTCCCCCTAAAGTCTACAGGGATCTGAAAATCCCAGCTATACAGAGGTACATCCACAAAAATTTCCCATAGACTCTAGTATATTATCACAGCATATACTTTCGGTTTAGATAGATAGTATCCATATACAGTTTTATCTATCATCTACAGATGTATCCAAAGTGTTGCAAATAAAGACAGAGTCTAGGAAGAAGCTGAGAGGCACTGTGTATAAAGTGTGTTACTTGGTATTTAGTACTTAGATAAGATGTAGATACTCATTACTAAGTGGAGAGGTCACAGGAGGAAAGAGCTTAAATAGATCTAGAAAGGTAGTTAAAGAAAAGTAGTATGTAAGTGTCTCTAAGGATGGATTAACTTATATAAATATATAGAGGTTCCCACCCAACAGAATGAATCCCTCCCGGGATCAAAAAGGACACTTAAATGTGCAGAAAATTACTACACTTGCTAAATCCAGCTCATGTGTATACTGAACGCTGCTGCTACACAACTCCTATAAATACTACACACTGCTGCTTCAAGGCAGCCTAACACTGAAGATCACTAGCTGAACTGTCTAGCTGATATTTTTCTGTTATAGCCATAGCTAGTGGCACTACTAGGACTTCAATTATACCTATTTAGACAGTTCAGCTAGTGATCTTCAGTGTTAGGCTGCCTTGAAGCAGCAGTGTGTAGTATTTATAGGAGTTGTGTAGCAGCAGCGTTCAGTATACACATGAGCTGGATTTAGCAAGTGTAGTAATTTTCTGCACATTTAAGTGTCCTTTTTGATCCCGGGAGGGATTCATTCTGTTGGGTGGGAACCTCTATATATTTATATAAGTTAATCCATCCTTAGAGACACTTACATACTACTTTTCTTTAACTACCTTTCTAGATCTATTTAAGCTCTTTCCTCCTGTGACCTCTCCACTTAGTAATGAGTATCTACATCTTATCTAAGTACTAAATACCAAGTAACACACTTTATACACAGTGCCTCTCAGCTTCTTCCTAGACTCTGTCTTTATTTGCAACACTTTGGATACATCTGTAGATGATAGATAAAACTGGATATGGATACTATCTATCTAAACCGAAAGTATATGCTGTGATAATATACTAGAGTCTATGGGAAATTTTTGTGGATGTACCTCTGTATAGCTGGGATTTTCAGATCCCTGTAGACTTTAGGGGGAGCAATTTTGTGATATGTGACTGAACACATACGGTACTTTATTGTACTGGTTACTAGTGTTTTCAGTGAAGTTACCTAAATTACCCCAATATACACTGAGGATATCCAAACTACATCTACCCACTTTTTACTTCACGTGTTTTTCCCACGAGTGTTTCACTATTACTTTATTTTTATTATTATTTATTGTTTTGTGTTTTGCCTAAAGTCGGCTTAATAAAGGTTATACCTAACAATTATTGTAATTATCTAGAGATATCATTTGGTGAAGTGGATGTCCAAATTTTTCCATCTTTAGTGGAACAACCACTTCACTCTAGTCTTATCCTTTTAAATATATATTATAAGCATCGGCTTTAAAAGGTTACTCCAGGCAACATGACCACTTAATTTATTCCTGTACTGTTGAATATAACACGATTATAAATAATTGTAGCATTGTAACCTTTATCCCCTTTACTTCTACATTGTCAAACTGCCTATCAAATCACAATTATATTCTCTTCGGTTAATTATAATTATGTGACACAAATGGAGGGACACACAAACCATTTCTTTATTTGTTACAAAGGTGGAAAGTTTCCTGAGACCTAACTTTGTGTTTTTCAAAGCTTTTAAGTTAGAAATAAAATTACAGTTCTGTTTTTATTTTCTTAAGTTGACAAATTATAGTTAAAATTTTGTCCAGATAAGATTTCATTTCTCTCTATTTGTCTGACTTGTTCCTTTTGTTTTCAGTTAACAAAAACATTTGACGCCACCAATCAGAGCATATGCACCGTTTTACCTATAGGAGGTTTATCGTTAAATACTACTAGTTTGCAAACAAGCGAAAGTCCTGGAGAATCCAATAATACTCTACATTCCAAACACACAGAGGATGTAAAACTTGCATCTTTCAGTTTGGAGAAATCACCTGAAAATCCGGGGACCACTGGAATTGAGAGTCCAAAATGTTCCCCTAACTCTTCAACTACTAAGATCTTGGAGGCTTCCCCAGATATTCTGAAAGTTCAAACCGTTATAGAAAATCTTAGGCTTCAAGCTCAGCAATTTTCTAATGAGAACCTAAAGCTTCTGCAACGAGCAGAGGATGGGGAGCATAAGATTGAGACATTGGTTGCTGAACTGAAAGACCTAACTGCAAAGATTGACGGGCAGAAATCAGAATGTGTTGGAAATGAGGCAGCAAGCTTAGAACTTCACAATTATGTGAAGGAACTTGAAGAGGAGAGAGCATGTTTGTTTGAAAAACTCGAATTACTTTCTTCTGAGAAACAGCAGTTAACTGTAAGAGTTGAAAACTTGGAAAAAGACCACAATAACACGTCTAATACAGTAGAGAAGCTCAAAATTCAGTTGTCCGACTTGTCCATCATACGTAAAGGTTTGGAAATGTCGAGTGAGGAATGGAAAGAAAAATATCTTCAAACAGAAAATGAGCTAAGAAGGACTAAATCTGAAAGGGCAAACATTGAGAATCATGCATTATCTCTGGAAGCTGACCTAGATACCCTACAAGCCAAAAGCCAACACTTACAAGATGAAAATGCAGAAAATATAAGGCGTCTTTCCTCTTTACAAGAAAGTCTTGATGTTGCTCTGGAAGAGAAAAATAAAATATTTCAGGAACTGAATAGTGTGAATGAAGAAAAAGCGGAATATTTAGTTCTCTACCATCAGTTGCAGAGAAAGGAAGATGAGTTTGTAGCAAATAAGGCAAATTCCAGAGAACTTATAAAGATACTAGAAGATGAAATGCGAGCGTTAAAAGTTGAACTTCAAACTAAAAAATCCATCACTGAACAGTTGTCCAGAGAAAGAGATGAGCTAATTAGGCTACATGAAACTGAAAACACTAAAAATTCAAACATTGAAGAGCTACAAAATCGGACACGGCAAATACAAGATGAGAAGGAACTTCTGGTGAAAGAAATTGAAGAGATACAGTCTCAGGTGAGAGAGTTGCTAAAAGAAAAGGGAGAGATATCTTCAGCTTTGGAATGCTGCCTGCTTGAGAAACAAGAATTAGCCACCAGACTTAATTCTGCCAATGAAGAAACTGCTCTGTTGCATAAGAGTATTGAGGAACTTAAAATTTGTATTGACTCTAATGAAAAGGAAAAATGTCATGTGGTTGAAAAACTGGAAAACGAAATGCATGCTTTGAAACTGGAGCTTCAGAATGCAAAATCCATCATAGAACAGTTGTCTACGGAAAGAGATGGATTAATTAGCCTTCAAGAGGCAGAGAAAGGGAAACATTCTCAACTTGAAGAGCTACAAAACCAACTAGACCAAATTCAACAGGAAAAGGCACATCTATTGAATCAATTAGAAGATATACAAGCTCAAATTCATGCAGCACTAAATGAAAAAGATAAAATATCTAGAACTCTAGAATGCTGCCGGCTTGAGAAACAAGAAATGGCCAACAGACTGAATATTGCCCAAGAGGAAGCTGGACTACTGCATGCTGGTATTGAGAAACTTAAAATTCGTATTGAATCTGATGAAAAGAAAAAATTTCATATGATTGAAAAACTAAAAGAGCGTGAACGAAATATAGATCATCTTAAAGATAAAATTGAAAATCTAGAGCGAGAGTTGACCATGTCAGAAGAGAATTTTGAAGACGCGATTCTTCAGAACGAGGCGAACAAAGAGGAGATGGAAAAGCTCAAGGCACATAAAGATGCATTGGAGAAGGACACAAATAATTTTAGGAGGAAGGTGGTGGACCTAGAAAAAGTAGTTATGGAAAGTCATGAGAAGATTGTAGAACTGGAAAAAAGGGAAACGGCACAGAAGAATTTTAAAGAAGTATCGGAGCAAGCATTCCTGGAGATTGAGAAACAGTTGAATGAGTTGCGTGAGCAAAAAAGGCTATCCGATGAGAGATACCAAACAGAGTCTGATAAACAAGCTGAAATGCTTTCTCTTATTGAGCAAACTAAAACAGACTTATTGCATCAGTTAGAAAGGGCACAATTGAACAACCAAAACCTGGAAGTCTCTGTTGAAAAACTTACCTCAGAGCTTGAGGAATGCAAACAAAAATTGGATGAGAAGACCCAACAGCTTCTTATTCTTGAAGAAAAACTGGTAAATGCAGGGCAGTTGAAAAATCGGTATTCATCAGAACTTTTACGGTTTGAAGTTGAGTCAGAAAATTTGAGTAATGAGAAAAAGGCTCTTCAGGCAGTGATAGAACAGTTGGAAACTAAGATTCAGGCCATGACTGCATCCATTGGAACCCTTGAACAGGCAATAGTGACTTCAAATACACTGTGCGAAGATTTAAAAATGCAGCTGGAAAAATCTACGTGTGAAAACCAAGATCTTTTCCAAAAGGTAAATACTGAATTATATTCTGTATTTGCAGGCTTCGTTATGCAGGTTAGTACATAAGACTTGTGGATGACAGATTCACCTTTATGTCTTAAGGGGACACTATTTAGTCACCAGAATCACTACATCTTAATGTAGGGGTTCTGGGGCATGTAGCCTCTCACTGCAGGCTCAGCAATATAAATACCACCTTTACTGACAAAAGGCAGTGTTTTCGCTGCTGCTAAAGTCCGCCTCACTTGGACAGCCACTAAAGGGACTTCCTGAGTTGGGTCCTGCAAAAGTTGCTGCACCAATGTTGGAGATGCTGAATACTCCACAAGAGATGCATAAATCCAATGCATCTCCATAAGGAGATGCTGATTAGTGCAACAGTTTGTTGGTCATGCACACTAGCCTCCCAATGCAGCTCAATGAGAAGTCTTTGTAAGGCTGGTGCTCTGGGCAATATCTGCCTCTTGAGTTCAACTCCACTGTCCTAAACAAACCAGGAAGTAAGATCGGGTGTCTGACAGCCAGGGATGTGACAAGGTTAATGTCTATTGAAATCTGTACTTTTGCAAAATGAAATAAAGATGACACTCTTCACACACAAAGCTTTTCAGCAAGCCCAAGCGCTTTTAGGGTCTGCAGTGTCCTTTTTAAAGCAGGGGTTCTCAACGTTAGTCCTCAGGACCCCCTACCAGTCCAGGATTTGGGGATTACCTGGGTGTGTCTCAGGTGTTTAGAAAAAGGGAAAAAAAACACCTTAGACTCTAAGGTGTTTTTTTTTTTTTCTTTTTCTAAACACCTTAGACACACCCAGGTAATCCCTAAACCCTGGACTGGTAGGGGGTCCTGAGGACTAACGTTGAGAACCCCTGCTTTAAAGCAAGTAAATTTGAGTTTTACTGCATACCGTGGGGGAGAGTTCTCTAAATAGAACACCATAGTGTTATGCATACATTTCTGTATTCCTAGCTCCATGTTATTTATTTAATAACAATGTCTGCTTCTGGTAGGTACTACATTGTAACCTATGCATTGTGGAAGCAATATGTCAACCAAATGTATGTGAATGTATGAAGTCTTTTCTACCCTTACAGTGGCAGGCACATATAATTGTGTGCACATTTAACCCCTCTCACGATAAGCAACATAAGGCTGCATTTAGCATTGTGAAATATCTTCATACCTAAAATTTAGTAGGGAATCTGGTGGGTTTATATTATCCACTGCCTTCAGTTCTTGGTAGGGGGTTAAAAAGTTATTTGGTTACTAAAATACCTTAAGATTAGAGTTCTAGCAAATATTCTCACTTCATATGTTAATCTTCCTTGGTGAATAGACTCCAACTACTTTTTTATGTTGATTGATTAGAATGTTGGCAATCGATTTATAAATGTATATAATCCCCAGGCATTAATGCATTATTAACAGATGTTTTGTGACTCGTATATAACCTCTAGGTAAACGAGCTATCAAAAAGCTGCAGTGATTTACAGCTCAAACTGCATGATGCTGATCATCGTATCAAAACATTTCAAGAGGCGGACTCAGTGGAAAGGAAGGCCATTGATGAGCAGATCGAGAAACTTCGGAGGCAAAATGAAGAAAGCAGTGTGAGTTATTGAGTTTTTACGCACACATTGGTATTAACTTTCAGTTATACATGACTTTCATAAAAGTAAGAGAATTCGATATAGAAAGCATTTAGACATTTTATGAGTAGCTGAATTAATCCAGTGAGTCCAAAGAATCAGTTCATTGTCGTATAGAGCATCTCTGAGAATTGGTTTTCTTTTCTTATAACATATATGCACCAGCATGATCTGTAGCAGTTAAAAATAAAATAGTCTAAAGAAAAAGAAGTTTAAAGATTATGGAAGTAACTCATATTGTGTGGATCTAAAGATTTCATCTGTGGTTGATTTGCATATGTTATTTGTAGAGCAGTCATTCTGTTACAGATGCATCACGTGTGTTGATTATAATTTCTTCAGCAGTATAAATGCTATGCACTAGCTATCACAGCACTGTATTACATACCCTAGATTTATGTTCACTTTCTAGACATTTCTAATATCTGCAACATCTCAAAGAGCCGAATTAGAAGAGACTATTACAAACCTTCAAAAAGAATTAGATGCACAGACCAAGAAAAATGCGCAAGATATTTCAGAATTTGAGAACCATCTCCTTCAAGCAGATTCGAAACAAGCTTTGCTTAATGAAATGATGGAACAGGTAATTAATCACATTCTTTTTTTCTTAGCTGTCTTTGCAAACTACCAAATTCAGAATACATTGGCAATATTGAATAATAAAAAATGGTTATAAGGTTGGTATTCAGAGGATTATAAAGTTATGCACTGTTGTGATATTTGATTGTAATGATCAACACAGCAACTTGTGCCTTCCTCTGTAATAATGCAAAAAGCTGGAACACTAACATGCTTTCTTACTTGTCTATGAAGCAAATAGTGTCCCTGTGCTCAAAGGCTGCTGTCTGACAGGACAACCCCTTTGACAACATTGTGTCCTAAATACCAGGCTTGCAATTCAAAGTTTTATGCCACTAGGCAATATAGATTTTTGAGAGCCAAAGCAGATACATATTATCTGTCGCCTTTCGGGCCATTTGCCGATATTCTGTACATTTAATGCCTAATTGTCATTAATTTATATGCTCCCCTCCTTGAAAAATGCTCATAGAGCATTTTAAACTAAAGTTTAACTTGCCTTAATCCAGCGCTAAGCAAAGCTCACCAGGGCTACTTGGCGCACCCTAGTCTAACTAGAGGCTGGAGCCTCAGCATAGTCCAATGAAAGGCTTCTCATAGGTTGGACCATTTTACCGGTTCTAGGCACATGCATGGGTAATTTGACACTTTATAAGCAAACCTTTGCACTTTGGTTTATTTGTTTCTTGGATATTTTTTTTTACGCGCAAACACTACAATCTCACTGTTTTGTATGTTTCTATGTGTTTTAAGGTTTGCACAAGGTATTGCTTAGCAGCTAAGAGACTTTAATTATATAGATATTAGAGATTTTTTTAAAATTTCTTGAGGCTCCTTCTATACACACTAATACTACATGCACGCTCTCTGAACTGACATGGGAAGGGTGAGTGGGATGGAAGGGTGGAAAAGGAGGAGGGATTGTGTGTAGTAATAATGCTGGGGATTGGGAGGAAGGAGGGCTTCATTAAGGGTGGGTAGGAGGGAGGAGAGTGAGGGAGCAGTTATTTCTGTTGGCAAACATAAATTATGCACAGAATTGACATTGGGAATCCTGGAACAGAGTACTGTCACATGTGCTGGAGGTGAAACTTCTTCTCAGCACACAACTAAAAATATCTGTGTATGTGCAGTGTTTCAAGCAACATTGCATATCCAGAATCCTACCACCATGACCACTTCAAAAAGCAGACATGATCAGACAGTAACTCTTTAAAAAATATATATATATTTATATTTTTTTCATTAAAGTGAAACTCCAGTGCCAGGAAAACAATTAGTTTTCCTGGCACTGCAGGTCCCCTCTCCCTCCTACCCCCCAATCCCCGGTTGCTGAAGGGGTGAAAAACCCTTCAGTAACTTACCAGAGGCAGTGCCGATGTCCCTAGCCGCTGCTTCTTCCGCTGCCGCCGCTCCTCCTCCTCTGTATTACGTCGGCCGGTGGATGAGACTGATCCCACCCACCGGCTGGGGAGACCTAATGCGCATGCGCAGTAGAGCTCCCCATAGGAAAGCATTGGAAATGCTTTTCAATGCTTTCCTGTGGGAAATTGAGCGATGCTGGAGGTCGTCACAGATTTTCTGTGCTATGATGCAGGAAGTGCCCTCTAGTGGCTGTCACAGCCACTAGAGGTGGAGTTAACCCTGCAAGGTAATTATTGTAGTTTATAAAAAACTGCAATAATTCCACTTGCAGGGTTAAGAGTAGTGGGAGTTGGCACCCAGACCACTCCAATGGGCAGAAGTGGTCTGGGTGCCTGGAGTGTCCCTTTAAGGACCACTATAGGCACCCAGACCACTTCAGCTTAATGAAGTGGTCTGGGTGCCTGATCCATTTAGGATGAACCCTTTCTGCTGTAAACATAGCAGTTGCAGAGAAACTGCTATGTTTACCTATGGGTTAATCCAGCCTCTAGTGGCTGTCTCATTGACAGCTGCTAGAGGCGCTTCTCACTGCGATTTTCACAGTGAGAAGACGCCAGCCTCCATAGGAGAGTGGCTTCCGATGGCGGAAGAAGAGGGAGGAGAGTCCCAGCGCCGAGGGAGCCCGACGCTGGAAAAGAGGTAAGGGATTAACCCCTTCCTCCCCTTTCAGTGCCACGGGAGTGGGACCGTGAGGTTGGGGGCACCCTCAGAGCACTATAGTGCCAGGAAAACGAGTGTGATTATCGGGCATGTCCACCAGATATGGATCATGGAGGCTGTTCCTTTAAATTTTGATGAATCAACACAATTTCTTCACAAATCTGTCTTTAACTGAACATGCTGACAACACTGCTATCACTCTCACACATTCTGGAATCTAGTACATGCTGGAATCGGTGAGTTCCCAGCATGTATAGTGCAGTTAATGATAAGAGTGTGATTGCTGACAGCCATAGTTAAAACGAAATGTCATTAGTCTGGTGTAAGACATTTGGAAGTGAGGACTAGTATGAAAATGGGGACAGTAAGTGGATTGGGAAGTTTACATCAAGTTTGGGCTTTTTAATAATCCAAATGATTGTTGTTTGCCAAAAGCAAGGAAGATCTAGAAAAAGAAAGCCTAAATAATTAAGATGCAGGAGGGAGAGTAAAAAAGATGCTAGTGATTATCAACAGGAGAAAAGAACATCAGAGACTTTCTCTAACATAGACCGTAATAGGACTCAAAGCACCAGAATATCCTATGTTTATTGCACAGGTTGTGATGCAAGGAAGTCTCTGCAACGGTTTGCAAGTCACTTCCACATTTCTTTCCAGTGGCAGGGGCTTGATCTTTTGGATTTGGGTCTCACTTTCTCTTTGCAACATAACATACACCCAAGTGTGTACATCATGCATACACTGGGAGTGTGCATTCCATGCAAGTATCTATCTCCTCCCTGAGCTGCAGATGAAAGTATCTCTGGCCAGTAACCAGTGATGGTGTGAATAAACTAGCAGCGGCAACATGGCTTATGGGTGGAGTTTGGATCTGATGAATGGATCTGTGACTGGAGGTTGAGTTAAATAAGCCAAATTCACTTATAAACAGGGTAGACTGTTTGGAAGAGTGAAACATGGGGCTTAAAAATGTATTTATTTTAAGAGTTTTACCTATAACAGCTTGTATATGTGATACAAGAATGTAGTGTTATATTTCATAACGGCAAAAAAAAGACAAGTTAGTGAGTTACACATTATTTACCTCTCAAACAGCAACATTTTTGGCATAGATGCCTATCTGGGCATTAACGGAAGGTGAGAAGTCAATTAACCCCTTAAGGACCAAACTTCTGGAATAAAAGGGAATCATGACATGTCACACATGTCGTGTCCTTAAGGGGTTAAAGGGAAACTATAGTCACCAAAACAACTTTAGCTTAATGAAGCTGTTTTGCTGTATAGGTCATGCCCCTGTAGTCTCACTGCTCAATTCTCTGCCATTTAGGAGTTAAATCACTTTGTTTATGCAGCACTAGACACACCTCCCTGCATTTGACTTATACAGCCTTCTTAAATACTTCCTGTAAAGAGTCCTCTAATGTTTACACTTCCTTTATTGCAAATTCTGTTTAATTTAGAATTTCTTATCTGCTGGTCTGTTGATGGCTTGTTAGACCCTGCAGGAGCCTCCTGTATGTAATTAAAGTGCAATTTACAGAGCAGGAGATAAACACTAAAAAGTAAGTAAGTTACTTCTGATTGAAAATGAAAGCATTTTGTTTTCATGCAGGATATGTCAGTCACAGCCAGGGGTGGTGTGGCTAGGGCTGCACAAACAGAAACAAGGCGATTTTAACCCCTAAATAGCTGATAATTGAGCAGTGAAACTTCGGGAGAATGATTTATAAACAAAAAAACTGCTTCATTAAGCTAAAGATTTTTTGATGACTATAGAGTCCCTTAAATGTTGTATCAAAATTTTGTATTTATGTTGTGTGTTCTATTATTTATTTTTAGTACACATGTGAAATTCAGAGTTACAAAGAGAAAATGACTGTAGCTGAAGCACATCTTAATGCATACAAACATGAAATCGACCACTTAAAAGCAAACCGTGAAGAACTGAAACAGTCCCTGAGCGATTCTTTGCAGCAAAATCTGGAGTTAAACCAACTGAAGGTAAGTGTGTAGTTTGTCACTTGTGTTTATCTGTATTCTTCCATGCATTATTTGGCATATATGACAAACTCTGGGCACATGATTGCTCTGAAATTTAAAAACATGCTTCTGGTGAAAAATCGCAAACGCAGCAGGTTCATTGTGCTATATTTATATTACAATAAAATAGTGAGAGCACACAGTAAAATAAAATAGTTACCACAATCTGTACATATAGTAGCGGGATCTATAAATAAAATATAAAGGAAAAAACATTGGGTAATACAGCTACAAAGAACTGTATGTATTAGTAAATCTATGGACCCACTCACATGGTTCTGAGCCACTCCACAAGCTGGCTCAGGCTAAGGGCTCTAAATACAGGAATATGGTGGCAACTTGATCAGGAGCTAGATGCTCACGGGTTCTGCCCCTTATGACATATCATAAGTATATCAGAAGCATTTATGATAAGTGTTTCGAACAATGGGGATATGATGGGAAATAGAAGTATTGGCTCGAGAGCCGATACATGGACTAAGACGTCAGGACGTAAGGACGTGAGCGCCGGACGAGTAGATATGATGAGCGCGGAAGTATATGTCGCAAACCCGGAAATCATCCTAAGAAAGGGCACAAAAAATTACTTCAAATAGGAGAGAGACCATGGAGAATACTCAAACGTAACCACTTTTGAGAAAGGCGAACAAGCCAAATCACGTCAAGTGTTGATGCACTGTCTGGTTAGAAGGAATATGGTTTTACTGTTTGTTTCTTAATAAAGAAGGTTTGTGGTTTTTCACCTACATCCTGCATCCTGGATTGTATTTGAGGTTAAACCTAAGGAGCAGAACCTGTGAGCGGTATCCAAATCCTGATCAAGTTGCCACCATATTCCTGTATTAGAGCCCTTAGTCTGAGCCAGCTTGTGGAGTGGCTTAGAACCATGTGAGTGGGTCCATAGATGTGCTAACATCGTTCTTTAACTGTATTACTCTGTTTTTTCCTTTAGATTTTATTTATAGATCCCACTACTATATGTACAGTTTGTGGTAACTCTTTATTTTATTTTACTGTGTGCTCTCACCATTTTTATTGTATCTAGCACTTTATTTGTGTTTGGAGTGATACACACAGTGATTGTAGCACCACTCCTGTGAATCAAGCCTTACTACTGTTTTGTATTGCATTTATTCCATATTATGCTGCCCCTTATTCACATAGAACATGTATATGGCAGGCACATGTGCAGCTGTAACACTCTACCGTATGCCCGTAATATGCCACTACTGCTCTCTAGAATGAAAAAAAAGAAAAAATATATATAAAAATCATATATACACACTCACTAAGCCACAACTTCAAAGCTTACAAAATTTAAATTGTATTCTTTTTAAACACCTGACTTAGTCAAACATAAAGGATAGTTTAATTACAGTATATATCATATACTGCATAAGTCTGCCACAACACCAATGTACCCCATTCTTGACAGCTCCTATCCTAACAACCTAATACCTGCTTTTATGAGATTAACACACTACTAGGGAATTATTCCTCCTGGGTCTCTCTGCAGTGCAAGATTAAATAGGCCCCTAAATAAAGGACATGTGACTGGTAGGGGTTGCAAAGTTACAGGAGTTGGCCTGGACTAACCACACATACTCACACTTTCTTATTTGGAATACCCTACCGTGAATAATTTTGCATATCCTGTATTAAAATAAATAGTTTTAAAAAAAAATATATAAATTTTATATATATATATATATATATATATATATATATATATATAATTTTATATACATCTAAATAATTTTGTGGGAATCTTAAATTGCATCTAATACAATAAAGAAATATTGACAAGAACAAGGAAACAAACGTTAAGAAAAAATAGTTAACATTGAGAGATGGTGGAGTGGGAGGACATAGAAAATGGAGTGGAAAATAAATTCATCTACATTTGGGGTTACCCCGGTGTCCCGTTATAGATAGGGATACAAATGGTTGATTCTGTATTTCAACCATAGAGACATATATTGTGTTGTGAATCTTCACAGCTAAATTAGTGTTTGAGAGGAGAACAGACAATGGTTCTCGCAGAGTTGCTCAGCTGTTTAGTGTAAGTCTACTCACTGCCTCTGGCTTCCTGGCAGCAAGTCAAACACTGGTATGTAGATGTGAGCTGGTTTGATTCTTTGGGTTGTGTGTTCATGTGATGTGGCACCACCAAAACAGCATTTTAAAAGGCTTCTTCTTTAACGTTGAAAATATCGTGGAGCTTGTGTTTATACTTTATGCCTAGGGTGTCATCTCAAGATGTCTTGTTATGAGCATTTTGTCTCAGGTGCTTTGGAGGAACGCTCTTCACAAATACATAAATAAACTTGATAAACTTTCTGGGTTCCAAACAATGGCATTCAGCGTTATTTCTTCTGTCATCTTCTGAGGTCCAGTAGTATTATTTTCAATGTGCCAAGTAAACACAGTTGGTTAAAATTAACTGGTAAACAAATAAATTCTTCCTATGGTTTAGTATCAAAGGCATGCAAGCCCCTTTGTGTAATTTAGCACTCATATCCTGTATCCTCCAACTTTATCACTCACTAGCTATCTGAGTGAGTACATTGAGATCGTTTAGACAGTTTTGTTCTCTAAAAAAAAACAAAAAAAAAAAAACGTTATCCATCTGCCGGCCAATTGGCAGAAAGCTGCTCGTACATTACATATGCTTTTGCTGGTTTTTAGCCTGCGTGAATAATGCAAAGGTTCTGTCATTAATCAGAGCTTTAATGTGTTTTCTGCTGCCAGTCTGAGGTGCTGTACCCTAAGCAGCTTTAGAATTAAAGAGCACCTGTCACTTTCCAAAAGGCTACACTTTACTATACTTAATAAACCTCTTTATTTTTTTTAAAACTATTTAAAATATATGTATTATGACTAAACTATATTTATTGTAAGGAGCCATTTTAAAGGTACCCCCATGATGTGCATTGTACCACTATTTATAATACAAAGTTTATTAACGGCATTCAAAAATTTACTGATGTGTAACATTTAGATAAATGCTCTTTTATGGTAAATCTAAAGGTTCTGAACGGCCTGCTTGGACATCCCAATCAGTTCCAAAGGTGGCTGACGTCTCTCAGTGATAACAACAAAAAGGCACCCCTCCCACTGTCTTTCATTGTGAAATTATGACCACACACACACTAATGAGCAGGTGCATAGAGCTGTGTACCTCCTGCCTATTTGTTTTTCTTTACAAAGTAAAGGATTACTAAAGTGTTAGAAATACAAACAAACGAGTTAAAGGTGTGTCTGCTTCCCCCCTTCCTCCCCATCCCCCTCAGCAGCTTACCTTATTCCAGCGCCGGGCTCCCTTGGCGCTGGTGACCTCTCCGCCCCCGCCAGCTCTCAATGCTTTCCTATGGAAGCTCTGCGCGATGGAGGCATAATATGCCTCCAGCGTGGCAGATACGCCTCTATTGGCTGTTCGGAAGACAGCCACTAGAGGCTGGCTTAACCCCAAATGTAAACATCTCTGAAACTGCATCTGAAGGGTTAAGACCTGAGTGACCTGGCACTCAGACCACTTCATTGAGCTGATGTGGTCTGGGTGACTATAGTGACCCTTTAACTTTTACTTCTCTTTTTCCTGCACTAAGGCTTTGTTTGCGCTGCTCACCTTTCGCCTCCTGTGATGTAATCTAGGAAGCATGGCCGTCTCCAGGGTGGTCCTATCCAAAGTTTACCTCTTTTCTACCTTTGAAAAGTAAGGAATATTACCTCTGCATTAACAGGAATAGTCTAGACAAGAATACTGGATAAAGACACTGTCTGCCTATTCACAAGAACTCAAATACTGAGAAATTCCTCAGCAACTCACAGCCACTAGGCACTTAGAAACTGCTAAATGTTCTGGTGACACATTCTACTCTCTTTCAACCTCATCCTTCTACCTCATTTGAGTTAAATAGTCCGAGATCTCTGTGTCCGTGAAACAACTTCTTTAAACTTCTAGGAGGAAGATTGGTGCCTGGAAATTCCATGCTAGATATTCAGAGTAATTTTATTTTTATTATCTACTATTTTAACGAATTAAGGGAAAAGTGGAGTAAATCCACTGTGGAAACGAATATCTGTATATAATATATACAGCTGGCTGTAATCCTAATTTGGAATATGTTTTTGTCAATGTATTTAGGCCGATGTTACCGCAATGAAAAAGGAAAATGCCATTACCTGCAGTAATCTTGACCAGTGGATGAAATCGTGCAAACAGTTGGAACAGGAAAAGGGACAGCTGGAAGAACAGATCAGACAACAAGAAATGGATTTGAAAAGCTTACAAGAAAAACAAAAAAGTACGTTATCTATGCATATGCACAAAAGCACATTGCGGGAAGGTTATGGCTTCCTTAAAAATATTTCAGTTGGTTGGTATAAATAATTTTTTGCCTAGTTGTTTATGCCAATTTTAGCATTTTTCATGGGGCCAGAGTGGACAAGGTAAGGGACACTCTAGTAACCAAAACAACGTTGGTTTAATAAAGCCATTTTGGTGTACAGATCATACCCCTACAGCCTCGCTGCTCAATTCTCTGCCATCTAGGAGTTAAATCACGTTGTTTATGCAGCCCTAGCCACACCTCCCTGCCTGTGACTTACACAGCCTTTGTAAACACTTCCCGTAAAGAGTCATCTAATGTTTACACTTCCTTTTTTTGCAAATGTTTGTTTTATTTAGAATGCTTTATCTTTTGCTCTTTTAATAGCTTGCTAGACCCTGCATGAGCCTCCTGTATGTTCTTAAATTCAAATTTCAGAGCAGGAGATAAAAACTTTTAAAGTAAGTTACATCTGATTGAAAATGAAACCATTTTGTTTTCATGCAGGGCTGCATAATCATAAATAAAAGTGAATTAACGTCTAAATGTCAGTGAAACTTCATAGGCATGATCTAATTCTATACAAAAAAACGGCTTAATTGTGCTAAAGTTGTTTTGGTGACTAGAGTGTCCATTTAACGAGAGCAGCAGAGGGAAATGCATTGGTCTGCCATGGTAGAAGGAAGGGCGGAATGTGGAGTATGTACACTTAATTGTTTAAGTATGTGACTTAAACAAAAATGATTTAAAATAAAAATAAACAACAAAACATTGCCTATAGCTAACTTTTAGTCCACTATTTGGTTGTGTAGAAAGTGAAAAGACATTTGCTTTGCTATATATTTATAATTTGTTGATGTGGTCCATTTGAGACTTTCCTATTTTGTTAAAACACTACTTTTAGATCAGATTGCAATACAATATTGTGACTTTAATGCAGACGTTATTTTTCATACTAGCGTAGTTACTTTATTTTTTCTGTTGTAAGCAAGAACAATAAATCTTTTACATCCATTAATTTGTACCATGCTTACTGGAAGGCACAAACTGTTCTCTTAAAGGATAAATAAAATCCTTCATGTTGTAATGTAGACATTCAATATATATTTTACAGTTATTTTTTACCAAGAAAAATTCAAGTTTCACAGAATGATTGTTTGATATATTTTGTAAAATACCGGAATAGTTTAATGCAAGTAATGAAAACATTATTTAACAAAAATATTAGTGGGAATGTCGCTTTTTTCCTTGTTAAATGAATACCTACATTTTATTTATATTGACCCTTTGTGATTAGTTCTTGCCGATGTAATTGTTGTAGGCATGATCCACATGTGGTATGCAGCTGGGCTTTAACTACAATTTTAACAGTTGGGAGATAATTTGAGAAAATACATTTCAGCAACACCTGGAGGGATAAGGTTGGACATGCTTGATTTTAGCAGGTTAAACCTTCGTAACAGTAATCTGTAGCCCTATGGTTCCTGACACATACCACTGTAGAGAATCATAAATATGCCCCCACCGTGTCCTACAGCCACTAGTAAATGTAGAGAATTCAAAATGTAAACGGCGCCATTTCTGTAAATTGGCACAAATGTGAAGTTTACAACATCACAGCAGCAAGGGCAAAATCTATGCCCCTAAATCACTTCACTAAGATTAAGCAATTTGGGAGTTTAGACTGTCTTTAACTAAAATACTTTTTGTTGTTTAAATTGACCTATTTGCACTTTTTATGTTTGAATCTTTTTTTTTTTTTTAAATGCTGTTAGAGTATTTTGACATATACTTAAGGCGAGTGAAATAACAGCACATTTTCATGTAATGAACTGGAGCAGTGAGTCTGAAAAAAGGTTTACAATAAAACATCATTTTGACAGGTTTGTGATTAAAACTCGGTTGTTCGGTCACTGCTTTGCCACACATGGAATAGTGAATAGTGTTAAAATAGCTTGACTATCCTGGGGCTGCTCCCTGTCGCCAGAACTGCAGATGGCGAGCCAGAAGCTCTCTTTTTTTAAGAAAGCCCAGTTTTGTGGGGCATAGCTCATTGGTTGAGATCAATCCGCTGACACTCTTAGCTCAGGAGAGAAAAGAAGATCCTGGTTAGGAGATGCCAGCTCTCCATCAACAGTAGTGGTTGGGAGTGGCAGATCACTGGTAAGAAGTCATGTGTTCAAAAACAGTTTGACTAACTTCCATGGGAGGTGTCAGGGTAATCCTCACAGTGAGTTGTAGTGGTTATGGTGCTTGGAATTTTTGTTTAACGAATTGGAACACTGGTGGTGGTGTAGCTGTAGTTCACTCTGCACCTTTACAATATTTCCTGTTTCTGTCACATTATCACAACAGTCCGCAACACATGAATTACTGTCTTCTCTGGATTAGTTAGACAATTATTGAATGAGCAACTACATCTTTGACTTTGTTTGAAACCGATACATGCTTTAAGACAAGATATTTCCAATTATGTAATGTCTTGCCTTTTTATATAGGTGCAGAAATGGACTCTAGTTCCAATGACTTATTGTCAGAGCTAGAGGAATTAAAACAATCTTTGGAAGAAAAGACTGCGGAGGCGGACGAGAGCGTTGAAAAATATTGTACTCTAATTATTGAAGCCCATACTCTGGAGAATGCCAATGAAACACTGAGAAAACAAGTGGATTTGTTAACATCAAGGCTGCAACAGCTTGAAGCCAGCAAAGAAGTCCATTCTTCACCCCAGAAAGTACACAGCCTTGTGAAGAAGTGTAATGGCAAAGGCGGAAAGGACAGAAGGTCTACGCAGGGCACCGCAAAGAAATCCACTAAAAGACAAAGAGCTCAAGAGTGTGCAGAGGATGGCGAAAGGCAGAAATACACAACGCCTACAACTCCACGCTATACTAAACGGATTAAGAACAGTGCAAGCAGTACGGTTTCTACACCACAGTCAACTGACGATGCATGCTTTGAGCCAGATGGACTTCCAGAGGTTATTAAAAAGGGTACAGTTTGATTTATTTTCTATATACAAATTGTTTCAGATAACTTTTGCAGTCTTATATCCTCTTCTATATTATGTTTGCATGTGTGTTTTTATAAAAGGTCCTGCTTATGTACATTGTGTATATTTCAAATGTTATTTGGTAAAGATTTTTTTATACAACCTAAATATCCAGAGCGATATATCTAGTGAGGACCTTACTTTAGTGGAAAGTTGTTTTTTTTGTTGTACTGTTCCAGTATCTTGTAAATGACATAGACCTTTTGATAAAGGTACCCCCTCTAGTAATTAAAGCACTTCCCTACATGACGCAAGATACACTAAAATGGAATTTACTACTAGTAAATCGGCACATTTGCTAAATTTTGGTCATTCTAATTTTGGTTGGAAAAATACTTGGCAATATTTCCTACTTGGTTATTTTGCATTTTTCAGTAAACCACATTTAATGTTAGTATACAATCCCTGCAAGGATTGTTTTCATTTAATGCAGGTTACCTGGAAATAATAATCAGATTACAAAACAAAAGTATCTCTAGCAAGAAAGGTGTTCCGTCTCAGCATTATATTTTATACACAGCATTTACTAGGAGTGAGGGAATCATCGACCCCAAAATGTATTGGTTTGGTCATTAACATTGCATAGATAAAACCCAAAGCTTTCCAGACTATCTCTAAAACAAAAATGCAGAATCTAATTTTGAGATTTAAAAATATATTGTATTTCATTTGTTAAAGTAATGATGAATCTTGGCTACTCCTGTTATTGTGTTCTGTGTTTTTTTATGATGCTGGTTGAGTAAAAACCAACTCCACAGCATACATACAACTGAAGTATCCACCGATTGGCCAACATAAACCGTCAGATTGACGCTGTTAACTTGTCACTACCCAGGGTCTCTTGTCAACTTTCTGCCTTATGTATTTTTTAAATAGGATTTGCTGATATCCCATCAGGAAAACGAAGTCCTTATGTTCTCAGTAGAACGGCTCTTCCTAGAAGGAAAAGCCCACGTCTTGCTGGCCAAAAACAGTCTCCATCAATCCTCTCAACACCCAGTGATGACCTTGAGAACCTCCAGAACTTCCCTAATGTAACAGAAGGGTGCAGCAAAGCACAGATGGTAACTATACTGCTATTCTTGCAAAACACTCAGCACTGGAATAGTCTGAAAAAACATGCAGGGTCATTAGAGCATTTGTGTGTACGCTTACTTATTCATGAACCACATTATTCAGAAATGCATTAGAGTAGAAAAGAAAACCCTATTCATATATTTAAAATAATGAAGACTCCTTGTTTAGGATTATCGTGATTTGTCACAAAGAGTGCTAGGTTTGCAATGTTTACATAGTGTTTCTTGATCTAAAGGAACAAGGCAGAGCAGATATTGTAAACACTGTTGCAGTAGATTTATGAAGCATTTTGCTTTTGTAATTACCCATTATTTGTATTTTATTCACTACACAGCCTATGCAGTGTGCGGTTCACCAGTAGAGCATAAAATGTGCTGTATGGTATATGAAATATTTCTAAATCATTCAACAGGTTTAAATAATGCATTTCATGCTTTCTGCTGGTATTTTATTCTAAGCGAAGTCTGAAAAGACAAAGGAAAATTATGTAGATTATACAGCAAGCAAAGAATAATGTTCAAGTAATTAAATAGGTTTTTGTCATATGTAAGATCCTGGCATTCAGAATTGTAATAGGCAGCTGTAGAAATGTTAAATTTTTCAGAAAAAAGGGGAACTTTCAGAGTACATAAAAGCTGATACAATATGTAGAAGCCAGCAACCTGACTCTTAGGGATTCTGCAATGTCTTTTAGGATCCCATCACACCTGACCTGTAGCAAGTGAGCGTGTAGATGATGACATGTTCAAACAAACACTGGAATTTGTTCATCTCAATGGGAAATCAATCAATGGTGTTTATCTTTCTAAAACCATACAGTCTTGATTTCCTTATTTTTTTTTTAATCCAATCCTTTTAGATTTGATTTTTCCAAGTGTCCCTAGAAGTGCATACAAATGCATTATTATGCATATCTAGTCATAGTTTGCTTGCTGAATTACAATTTTTTTTTTGTGTGTGTGTATGTATGTGTATGTATATGTGTATATGTATGTATATATATATATATATATGTGTGTGTGTGTATATATTTATATATTTTGGACACCTATTTCAACACTTTCCATAAACAACCACACCAACCACTATTTGAACTACACGGCTCCATTCTCACTACCGCTAACTTTATGCTCTATGTCAGTTTGCTGTTAACTCGATTTGGCCTAAATGCAAATAATTTCTCAGGGCATTCCTTCCACATAGGGGCGGCATAATTTGCTTCCCCCAACCACATTCCAGCTCATATCAAAACTATGGGACACTGGAAATCTTCTGCTTACTCTCTTTACATACCAAACCCAGTTAAAGAGTTACGGCAAGCTTTTCGTGATTTGTCCAAATAATTGATGTTTTGTAATATGAATAAATTTGGTATGGTACACTTCTTTTTGCCCTCTTTATCACAGGCATACTGCATTGTTGTTTCTGGCACACCACAACCGACTGGTGTTATTTAACTATCTTTGTTGGTTACGAATTATGTTACCTTACCATCACGGCAATATTGTAGATAATATCCATATATATATATAATATCCATCTATCTTTAATCAAACAGCAACTGCACTCATTGTTAAAATATATAGGCGTACATACTGTAGATACATACAGTTACTATTTGATTGAAGAAGGATGGCTGCAGAGATTTTATAGATTTCATATTGGCCGTAGATTTGATCATTTGTGGCAGGCTATTCCAGGTATGTGGAGCTCCTTAGGGGAAAGCCTACTTGCCTCCTTTTTGAGGCGTGTAGTGCAAAGTAAGGAACAGGAAGTGGAAGAAGTACTTGGTGGTGGTGGCAGCATAAGTGAGCATACTGTGAGAGTAAAGTGTGTCTGGATGATAGAGAGTAAAGTGTGCTGAGTTTAGTGAGATGACATCTGGGACTAGGAATAATCATTGGTCTAGAAGGACTCCAATCAGACAGGCTGATGGCTTGATGCCAGGCACGATCATTGATATGTCCACTTATTTTACACATTTTATTACATAATGTTATCTTTCATTATGATTTTACACAATCAGTCTGGGTGTAATCTTTTAAAAAGGCAAATAACTATTTGTTTCCACCTGTGAATTTAGTTTTGTTAAAAGGGTTACGGAGAAGAGAGAGCGTATATTTATATATATTTACATACATTTTTTTTTTTTTTCTTTTCTTTCAGTTGAGCAAAGTGGAGTTAATGCAGTTGGAGGCAGCAGTAGGATCTATGGAACTCTCATCTCCACTATCATCTTACAACAAGCTGAAAGGTCCCGTGTATGAAAGTCCAAACGTTTGTGAAAAAGAAGCGGGCAACACAATACGGAACGTCAAAACTTTACATGAACAATCTGAAAGTGAAGAAACGTGTAATGTACAATAATGTACTTTGCATTATTATTCTATTTTTTTCAACTCTTTGTAATTAGTGTATATATATTCCAAAATGGTCATTTAACCAATAGGTGTTAGGTAAATTTGTATGAAATCCCCCTAAAGCTAAATAAGCAATTGATGGTAATAAATAATAAAAGAAGCGACCTGACCAATTGCTGACTGAATGGTCATCAGCTGTTTTGCTTTCCTTTTTCACGAATGGAAAAAAAAAAATACAACTGCAAAAATATAGAAAGTTATAGACAAATCTTTAAATCTTTGCTATTCAGATATTACTTTCCTAACTAATGGCTAAAACTTTCATAATTGCTTCAGACTCTGTGCGCAGCCAAGCTTCTGTGAACTAGAGAGAATAGTCATCTCTTGTTTTGATGGTAGGGGGCCAGGAGACCCTCAACATTGTTGTTTTATTTGTGTATTTTACCTAGGGCAGCCATTTAGGTACACTTACACCCCATAACATTTTGTCTCTATGAAATGGTGATGCTTGGAGTACCTGGGCACTCCTGATCACTTGATCTTAGGTGGAACCATAGTTTAATGGGGGGTTTTATAAGCGTGACATTGTTGTTCGTTATCTCCTTTTCATACCAGTAGAACTGTTTCCTCTATTTTCTCTGAATATATAACCCATTAATTTTATTTATTTCTTCTTTTTTTATTTTTTAAAAAAAGGCTATGCTATCATAACCTCTGTAAATGTGTAAATATTTGTACATATAACCATGTTTAATGTTTTTAAAAGTTGCATTTTTTTTTCCCCGCAGTTGACTTAATAGCGTACGGTAAAATTCATGTAGAATGTTACAAAGTTGTACAGTATATTTTCTACTTGGATTTTTATAAAACATATATAATGAAATTACTGGTTTGTTTTTTGGGGTTTCTTGTGGGCTACGATCGTCCTGTTTTGTTTGCAGTTTTTATATAAACTGTTTATCATATGTTTCTCTACACTTCAATTTGTAGCTAAATAACTATATGCTTTAATATACATACAAAACACCAGTGCGTCACTAGTACATCAAATTTTCTTACGCCGGTGGAACAAATACATAACCCATTTCCTTTTTAACTCCTCTTCCCATGACTCTTAAATCAGCATTGTTGGAAGTTTTAGTGCTGTACATGCTGGTGACCTACCTGTTGTAACCTTGTACAGGTGGTGGATTTGGAAATATGATACATCACTCTTTCTATTTAGTAGCATGGAGTTGATCCACTTTCTTTAGTTAATTACGTTCCAATTGCTCCATTTATAGAAAGAAAAGGCGTTATGCTGAGGAAAAATTAAACTAGATTAACTCAATACGTGTTGGGCTATGGCGAGGAGTCTGTGCATATTAAAAGAAGAGTTCCATACAAGGAGTAAAGGGAAAAGGAAGAATTATGATGATTTCAACATATGTAACAAACTGGGATACAAACTTTACAGTCCCTCAACACACACTTCTTTTCAGCTAAGTGTTTCAAGTATTACTGTTATAACAATAGCTTTAGAAGCCAGTGCTTTTTTTTTTTTTGTTTTGTTTTTTTTAGTTAAATGTTCAATAAAATTAACATTCATTTGAGACAGATTTCCAATTTTAGATTAAAATAGCCAAGCTGCAAACACAGCAGAGTTGGAGAATATTTTACATCTGGCTATTTAACGCATAATTTGAAATTCTTGGGTCCAATTTCTGACAATTCTCAAATAAATTAACCGTTCCTGTGCATTACATTTTATGCAAAAATCCATACTTTGCTAGATCCTTACACCATGCCCAAATAGAATTCAGGCACATTGCAAATGTATTTAGAGACTACTATGGTCTCCAGACCTTTTAGTAAATGTAGCCCTCACTCTTTTTAAAAAGATTGTCTTAGATCAGTACCACCTGCTACTGTTTCAATCTGGTGTCATTAATAGCTAGTCTTTGTTTGAGTTATTATACCATGTTATACCACAGAAGGGTAGATTCATGGGAGCACACTTACAGTGGGCGTTGGATCACTTTCCTGAACTTCACCATTAGAGGGATGTCCCCCCACATCAAAAAATGTGTAATAACGCCACTAACAAACAAAACTTTATATTTGAATCTGTACCTTAACTATAAGATAAGGCCAGGGATTAATGAAAGTAATTAGAAAATTTGGCAGACTAGATGGGCCAAATGGTTCTTATCTGCCGTCACATTCTATGTTTCTATGTTACCATAAAGCATTGAGGGGATCATCTCAAGACTACTTTTATATACTTAAGGTTTCTGTAGCCACAGGGGAGAGCAGCACTCAAACTGTTTTTTTGGCTTGAGACATATAACTGAAAACTCTATGCATTGTACAACCACCACCACTCATAACTGAGAGTATTGTTACTGTTGTGCTGTGGGATTAACATATATACAATGCACACTGAGAGGTATATTGCTGTGGAGCTCAAGGATGCTTTCATTCACAAAACCTTACTGTGCATGTACTTGTGTTCGCATCTCATCCCCAAATTCCTTAGCAGACCAACATTTCTGCTTTTCAGAGGTTTTCAAAGTAAACAAACTTTATTTTATTAAAGGTTAAGTTGGACCGAAACATGGGGAGAGAGAAAGTGTGTGTGTGTTCGCAGGCATGCATATTTATTTATGTATTTGAGGCCTAGTTGTGGTAATGGAGATTTGCTTTAGATTCAAACCCCTAGTGATTTTGAAATCTGACAACAACACTGGGCAACACCAGTCAAAATCCAAGAGCCTCTCATTCTGGTCCATGGGGTTAGATCTTGGCCAATAAACCTGTGTCCAGAAAAAAGTAGTTTGTCCCCAACAAAAGCTAACTTATCAATTGCTTTCCAGATGATATCTCTTGCTTGACCGACTACACCGATTGCACCCTATTTCTTGCAGAGCAAAGGGGAACTCTGAGCCTTACTCAATAATTTCAAAAAATTATTTATTCCATTAGGAAAAAAAAGCACATTATTCACAATCCTCAATAACATTGTTCATTGTTTTCCCCTAAACATTTAAACAGCATTCAAGCATTATCTTCAAAATATCAATTTACCAACCACTTTATTTTTAAATAATTAGTGCCATTAAAAAGAAGTGACTGCACTTCTACTGGTACTGTATTCCTGGTGAAGATAATGTCCGGAAGCAATGCTCTCGTACACTGCAGTTATATTGCAAATAGTTCATTTATCAATTCCAAATGACGTTTTTGTGCAACGTGCGCCTGGGATTTCCAGTAAATGATGTGGAATGCTTTTTTCATCATGCATATTAAGTCAAGCTAAATAGATTAGGCTTAATTTGTTACATTTCATATTCATCTTCATTGTTCTGTGTATCTGGCATTACATGTGCTTGTCTTCCTATGTTTTCTGGGTATCCAGGAGCTTAGCCAATTTTCCATCCAGCGGGATATTATAAGAATTATATTGAGCCCCGTCATAGCTGATTGAAAAGTCACATTTTTCATTCTTCTCAAGCTCATCCTTCAGGTCTCGTATTAAGAGCTTCTTTTTAATCTGGAAAGAATAGCAAAGCTGGTTAAATGTTAGAAATTGTATAAATTAATTCTCGCTCTCTTTTTCTGTACATTGGGCCTGACAAGTACCTTTTTATATACAACACGGAGTGCAAGACCCCTTCCACCTGAAGTCTGTGGATAGTTAATACAATGTTAAACAAAACTCTGCACACCAGTCAAAACATAAGACTTGCTTTTCCCACAGAAATCCCAAATCTGCAGTGATGTTACAACTGCAAAGGATTCTGGGTGGGCAACAAAGAATCACATTTTTGCCTCATTCCATTTAGCACTACCAAGCCTCAATAAGCAAACCAGTAACCAAGCTCATGCTGATGGTTATTTAGTTTGGCATGCAAGGCCCGTTTTGAGGCTTCACATCTGCACAAGGATGGGGGGACCAGGTAAGCATTTTTACTGTATCATTGAATAAGCACCATCGAAAGATTCTGGAGATATTGTAATAAACCATGAGAGGTATGGCCCACAGCCCAATGAATTGGACAGCCACATGCACCTCCTGCTTTGTTAATTGTCCTTTGGCATTTCACCAGGTTGCTAAGGGTCCTGGGGAACACCTGTGTTCATTTAATGAGCTCATAGGATAAAACTTATGGGGTACAGAAAGTGTGTTTGGGGACAACGCAGAGATAATTTTTCCATTTTTAATTTTTAATTTTTTTTATTCTTTATTGCAAGACAGGATGAAAGATACAGTGTAAACAATATTTCCGTTAGCTTTATACAGACATTAATAAATGTATAGTAATCAATATTTGCACAAGCATTTGTAATAAAGGCATTGCTGTGAATGGTATAATATGAGTAATCCGTAAATTGAGACCATGCAGTGTGTCTGTGGCCCAACTCAGAAACGTGCCACGTCCGACAACCCGCCCTGTGTTTTGATATATATAAAAATGAAACGGCGCACAACTATACAGACGTCCATCAAGATAGGAATGATAGTTTATCTGTGGTCGCCTCCTGCTCAGGAGCATCGTAGAGCCTTGTGGTATCTGAACCCTCTCGTTCCTACCCTTTGTTTCCCATTGGTAACTCTACACTGCAAAGTCGTACGAAGTGAGTCAAAAGATGATAGTAAGGATAAATAGAAAAGTAATAGAAATAGGACAGGAGAAAGGAGGGGGGAGATGAGGGAATATGGGGGGTTTGACCCTTTTGTCTCTAGTGAGATGCTGACAGGTTGATGGACCATATTGGGAATGTGCACTGAGGCATTTCAGTGTCCATCATCTCTTAATCTCCATTACCCCACCCTTGTTGAAGTGAGAGGAGGTAACTAGTTCTGGCTCCCTAATGGTGTCTAAATGTTCTCCTGGGGGGGCCAGTGGTGTGCATCATCATTGTGTATAGTTCATAGTGTGTGCGATAGTAAGAAACACAAAGTTACTGTAACACCTCATACAATGTGTTAGGAGTTTTAATACATGCTGTTAACACTGTGCGATGTTTTTCGTTGGTTACCAGATCAAAGAGACTCTGCAATTGCCTGATTGCTCACTGGAGGCAAAATATAATGGAAAACAGTTTGCTAAAGGAAAATCCTAGTGGTGTTGACAACCAAGCCTTAATCAGCTTACAGTGAGCACCACTCGAGGACGCTTGTCTCTAATTTAAACCTCTCTGATGCCTGTTAGAAAGAAATGATGGTTCCACAGCTCATGTGTGATGTTCCAAAATGATGGTAATATGATAATTTGTTTTTGGGTTTTTTAGGTAATTGACAATAGAGGGGTATTCTTTTTAAATATCCTGACTGGAACAGACTGGTGCAATATTTGGAATCCTGGATGATTGGTGGTCCTGGGGGATTATTTGCAAAGTAAGGAGATCGAGAACAGGAATAGAACCAAGGGACAATGGGAACTGTACTTAAATAGTTTTTAAAATAACATGTATCAATGTGGACTACAAATAGTAAAAAGACATATAAATAAAACTTATAAAAGTAAAATAAAAAAAAATATCGAAAATAGTCCAAAAAGATTTTAGAAGTTGCACTGTGGCAATAGATGTCTTATAAGGTGCTTTTAGTGATGGGATCTCTTCTCTGTTTATAGTAGTCCAGTTGGTCTCGTGATATGGAAGACACAAGATAAGAGACCAATCGTATAGAGTGTAAGGGTCAATATATGTGAGATAAAGATATAAATATTCCACTCACATTTAAATGAGCTATAGCCAGCCCAGCTCTCTTATCTTGTGTGTCTCTTATATCACGAGACCAACTGGACTACTATAAACAGAGAAGAGACCCCATCACCAAAAGCACCTTATAAGACATCTATTGCCACAGTGCAACTTCTAAAATCTTTTTGGACTATT